GGAGGTGGGTGAGTAAAGTGGTTGCTGAGTCTTGCAAGCTTGCAGCCTGGGTCTTTGAGGTTGCACTTGTGAATCAGACTGCGGTTGCCTTTACTAGTCTCATATGTTGTTGAACCAGAAACTTCTCATTAAGTCCTTACAGGGAAGTTTGTTGTCCCAAACACAGGCTGCTGCACCAGTGCATGCATTGTCCCCTTTGCTTCTTCAACTGGGAAGCTGGCATTCATTTCTATCAGTCAGTAATCCATGCTCCCTGTGTTACACCTGGCCAGACCTTTGTAAGTGCCTTGACTGTCAGGATGAAGTGACACTGATTTCTCAAGTCCCTCAGCTAGTGCAGCTTCCTCTGGGTCATCTTCTTTTAGAACACAAGCTTAGGGTGTCTCAGCTGACACGCAGGAAGTCAGCTGCACTGAAGCCACTCCACTAGAGGGATGAGGAGAGACCTCAGAGCTTGGGAGAAGAGACTGGGGGGTGCCCCTGTTTTTAGCATTCTTCTGCTCAGATCTGAGACAGTGTGGACAAGTCATCCTTGTTGTGTCTGATTGCTCACCCACAGGACCTGTGAGCACAACAAACACCACTTTACAAGGAGTAGGGGAGTAATGTTGAACAAGCACAGTAAGAGGAACAAATGCCAACTCAGAGTCTGTCAAAGAAGCAAGACAGAATCCAAAGGGAAGTTGGAACTGCAATCATGCAGTTTCTTAACACAGCCAAATAGCAGCTACTAAGAAACAAAACCCTTTTCTGTAAGGCAGTAACCAAGGCTGGATACTTTGTAAAAAGAAGAGGTTTGATTAGCTCATGGAAGGTCTAAGACTGGGTGTAGAGAGAGTCCCCAAGACTGGGTGTAGAGACACTATGGTCAGTCATCTATGAGAGGGACAGGTGCTGTGGAGGCGGGAAGCCAGAGATCAAGGAGGGGCCAAGCACTGTCTTTTGTAGCAACTTTTCTTTTGGGAGCTAACTGGGGTCTCACAAGAACTACCTTTATAGCTTGAGTGCCATGACCCAGTGACCTAATCACCTCCCTCTGGGACATGCCTCTTAAGGCTTTCAACACCTCCACTCTGTCATATTGAGAGCCAAGCCACCAATATTCATGAACCCTTAGAGACGTACTCCAACCATATCCAAAGCTTGACCCTAGCTATTAACTGAGCTGTTTCTCATTTCTTTTCATACTTGGCAAACTTTCTTTTTCTTTTTCTCTTTTCTCTTCAAGACAGGGCCTCACTAGACCCAGACTAGCTTCACAGTCACAGAAACCCTTCTGCTTCTGCTTTCTGAGTGCTAGGATTAAAGGCCCAGCCTACACTTGGCAAATTCAATTAGATATAAGTAAGAAATTGTGATTTTGGGGGGAAGGGATGACATTTGGGGATATTCTTGTAGTCCTCCCAAACTAGAGTAGTTGGGTGGCGAGCCCCATACTATGGTGTGGCAGATTGCAATGTTGTATGGAAGAGGCTTTAAAATCAATAGCAACTGGTCAGCGTTGAGTTAGCTTCCAAAGGTTAGTCCTGCTGCTGTCAACTTTTGTTTAAAGGGGGTAAAAGAAATCTTGTGCCGAGCGTTGGTGGCGCACGCCTTTAATCCCAGCACTCAGGAGGCAGAGGCAGGTGGATCTTTGTGAGATCGAGACCAGCCTGGTCTACAGAGCTAGTTCCAGGATAGCCTCCAAGACAATACAGAGAAACCCTGTCTTGAAAAACCAAAAAAAAAAAAAAAAAAAAAAAAGAAATCTTGTTTGGAAAGTTTGGGTGACTCTTCTTTTTTTGCAAAGGTGTGTTCTTTATTTACTAGGAAAAAAAAAAAACCCTGCTCTGTTACAAGTGGTCCTGTAGCCATGTGGTGGGTTGGTGTTAGAGTCTGTCATTCTGTGGTTATGAGAACTTGTCAGGTCCCAGGGTTTTGACAGGCTCTGGGTAAAGTCTGTTTTCCAAGTTTTGCTGCTATAGTGCTTTGTTGCCTGTGACATGGTGTGTAAGACTGACTCTGGAAGCTATGAGCAGAAAACTTGCCTGGCTCACAAGGAGATACTTCTTTTCATCAGTGACTTGATCAAGGCATCTCTGCATGAGGAGCTGGAGCCACAGTTCATAGGGAGATAGCTAGTGAGTAAGCTTCCATTGAAATGCCAGACACGATTCCAATGCTGTTGGGGAGCCAACTGTTACTTTCCAAGAAGCTTACTTAGCCGAACCCTAAGAGGTCACAGTGTACCTGTGCTCTTGTATATTCTTTAATCATTCCTATTGCATATTTGGGAGAAAACCTGAAAATAGCTAAGCTGGACTGTCCAAGTAAAGGTATGTGTTTTGGTCACAGCTACTCATTTAATAAAGCGTTCACTGGGCTGGCTGTGTAGGGAGGCAGTTTCCTAGAGGCCCCTCCTCAGCTGGTTTGACTGAGGCCCCTCCCTTTCCTTTCCTGGGAAGTCTGAGAAAGAAAGAAGGACACTTACTTCTCCTTCTGCCCTCCAGGATGGCAAATGGATGGGTAACAGTATTATGTGCTGCTGGGGTTTATGGGTTGACCTAGTTGAAATGCTAGGTACTCCTTTGTGTTTATTGCTAAGTGCTTGTGTCAGTTCTGAGTGGAGAGGGTGTCCTGGTTGGTCTTGTGCATTATTAGAGTGGCTTGTGGCTCTTGGCACTGTGTAGAAATTCAAGTTCTTTGGGAAGTTCTGAATATTGTTTCCAAAAGTTTCCTGCAAGACATAGTTGCATATGCCTACAATAAGCTCAGCCTTCAGGAAGCAGAGGCAGAAAGATGATAAATTCAGTGTTAACCTAGGCTACATAAAATGGTGAGATTCTTTGAATATCCACCACCAGCTAGGAATGGTGGCTCACTCCTTTAATCTGAGCACTTGGGAGGCAGAGGCAGACTAATCTTGTACTAGTCTATAGAGTGAGTTCCAGGACATCCAGTGCTACACAGAGAGACTCTGTCTTGAAAACAAACAACAGCAATCAAGCCAAACAACCCTACCGCCATTAGAAATCTTGGTTGTGACCCACATTATTCCCTATTATTCATGCCTGGAAAATGTTACTAGCAGCAGGTTGGGCTCTTGGGAGGCCTCCGGGATACACTATGAGCTCTGCTTTTTTTTAAAGGTCTTAGCCATTGATGACAGTACCTACCTTTGGGTCTCTTGAAACATCTGCCTTCAAAATGTGAACTAATGACTATTTTACCTTTCTTTTTTGTTTGTTTGTTTTGTTTTACGAGACAGGGTTTCTCTGTGTAACAGCTCTCGCTGTCCTGGAACTTACTTTGTAGACCAGGCTGACCTTGAACTCAGAGATCCTTGCTGTGATTACAGGCGTGGGCCACTACTGCCTGGCTCTTTTTTTTTCCCTTAAAGATAGGGTTTCCCTGTAGCCTTGGCTGTCCTAGAATTTGCTCTGTAGACTAGGCTGGCCTCAAACTCAGAGATTTGCCTGCCTCTGCCTCCTGAGTGCTGGTTGGGATTAAAGGTGTACACCACCATACCTGACTTTCCTTTTTTTAAGGTTTACTTTTCCTATAATAGAATCTACCCCTCTTAGTGTCTGCTTCTGTACAATTACGTGGATTTGTGGTGTGCAATTGCTGGAGCTAGGGTAGCAGCCATGGCTATGGAGACCGTTCACTTGGAAAAGCACTGCTAGGCAAGCATGAGGACCTTGGTTAGCTCTCCAGCAGCCACAGCTTCTCATCCCAGCTTGGTCGGTGGAGACAGGGAGATACCTGGGGCTTGCTCCCTCGTCAGCTCAGCTTCATTAATGAGCTCCAGGCCAACGAGAGACACAGTCTCAAAACTGGGCGGCTAGCTAGCTGCTGAGGAACAGTGCCTGGGGGTGCTGTTTGGCCTTCACATGCACGTACACATATGTACATCTACATACTGACTTTTTGGTACAGTAGTCTCAGGATATAATGTTAAAATGGGATTTAGGTTCAGTGATAGTGAGGGGTATTCATAGACCCTTTTAGCTACACCCGCTGCATGGTAGTGTTTTGGGGCCTAGTTCCACTCTCTAAACAAGAAAAGCATCAGCCTGTTACACAGTGTTGCTTAATCTAGGAAAGCAGATACTAGCAAATCTGAAATGTTTAGAAGTCTTCCAGTGTGGTTTTGAGTTTAAAATGTGTCAGATTAAAATACTTTATAAAACAAAAGCCATGGGAGATTCGTTCTTCACTTCTCCTATCCCAAGCATAGAAAGATTGACTATCACACCGGATGAAAGCTGAATGAATGTTAAGGACCCTTGGCCAATTTATAGGATTGCTTCTTTGTGTCACTTTAGTATTGTCTGTTTAGAAAAAAACGGAACTGTCTTCCTCAAACAAATGTGATGTTAAAGTTGCTTAAATAATGGCCAATTTATTCTGCATCTGCTGGGAACAAAACAGTCTGTGTGTTTAGGCCTTGTTCAGTGCGACAGGTTGTGAGGGTGAGATGGGACTTTGAGGGTGTTGATATGGTGATGTGATGGGCTGTGAGGGTGTGATGGGCTGTGAGGGTGTGATGGGATTTTGAGGGTGTGATGACTCTGAGGGTGTGATGGGATTTTGAGGGTGTGATGACTGTGAGGGTGTGATGACTGTGAGGGTGTGATGGGATTTTGAGGGTGTGATGGGATGGGTTGTGAGGGTGTGATGGGACTTTGAGGGTGTTGATATGGTGATGTGATGGCTGTGAGGGTGTGATGGGATTTTGAGGGTGTGATGGGATTTTGAGGGTGTGATGACTGTGAGGGTGTGATGACTGTGAGGGTGTGATGGGATTTTGAGGGTGTGATGGCTGTGAGGGTGTGATGGGATAGTTGTGAGGGTGGTGATGTGATGGTTGTGAGGGTGTGATGGGATTTTGAGGGTGTTGATACGGTGATGTGTTGGGGCTGTGTGGGTGGTATGTGGTGTTGTTGCCTTAAGTCCTGCTCTCATCCACAGAATGAGTCATGTGTGACCTCTCCTTCCTTTCCCTCACTTGACTACAGAGAGGTACAGAAAGCAGTCAACACTGCCCAAGGATTGTTTCAGAGATGGACGGAGCTCCTTCAGGGCCCCTCTGCAGCAACAAGGGAGGAAATCGACTGGACCACCAACGAGCTGAGGAACAACCTCCGCAGCATAGAGTGGGATCTAGAGGACCTCGATGAGACCATCAATATCCTTTCTTCTCTGTGGGCTCTGCGTGTAGGGACTCAGGGGTGCGGGCAGGACGGCAGTTCTGTCCAGACCTTGAGCCATAGATAAGAGGTCTGCTTTTACAGTGACTGATCTGGCTCTTGCTTGTACCATGACACATGTGAAGTCTGCCCATTGAGCTCAGGTAGGACAGCCATGGATGGAGAGTCCTGCATTATCCAGGCTGCATAGAGCAGTGATCGTCACTTTGTACCCTGGAATCTGTCTGCTGGTGGTCAGTTTCTCACTCCACCATTGTAAAAGTAAGAATAAACTTCTTCCTCGTACCCAGTAAAATACTAATACTTGTGATATCTGTGCAGATTCCCCTCACACACCAGTTAGTTCTCCAGCAGACACTAGCTAAGTGTCCTGCAGTTTCTACCTGGAGATAGCATGGTATGCTGTAGCATTCATGGCTCCCATATCAGACGCCACGTGCAAACCCCAGGTTCTGACCTGTGCTTCAGACCCACATCCTGTTTGTTTAATTTTCAAGAACAGCTTGTAGAGCTCAGGAAAATGCATTGCTTAGGTTGTCTGTGTGTGTGTGTGTGTGTGCTTTTTTTCTTCCTTTTTTAAATTTAAGTTAGGAACAAGCTTGCTTCACATATCAATCCCAGCTCCCTCTCCCTCCCCTCTGTGCGGAAGAGAAGCGCGGGGAAGGTTTGACAGAAGAGCATGTGTGGCCTCCAGGAATGCCATCCTCCTATGGCACTCCACAGGAGCCTGTCCATTTCAGGGTTATGAGAGCTTCATCACAGAAATGTTATTGGTTAGGTGATTGGCCATTGGTGACTAGCTCAGCCTTGAGTCCCTTCTCCTCCAAGGGGTAGTTGTGGGTAATTAGTTCATATCACTAATTGTAGCATTTGTTTGTTTGATAATCAGAGGAACTGTGTAGCAATTATCAGTTGTCTACTAGCAATAGCAATAGAATCTAGAAACCCCAAGGGCTGTAGGAGCTCTGGGCCAGAGTGTTGAATATATATTTGATAATAGTGTTAATATATATTTGATAATAGTGTTAATATATATTTGATAATAGAAGCTTTGGCCACATTAGTAAGGTTTTCTGTGCTCTAGTTTCCTCTTCAGAAGAACACTAGGACAATGAGAGTCCCCAGCTTCTAGTGTCAAGAGAGCTAGATGTGTCAAGAGCTTAGCATGGTGCCTGCCCAGAGTAATTGGCTGTAAAGGATGAGCAGTTGTGCTGGGCAGGCTGTGTGGTAATACAGCACTTGACTAACCTAACACATGAGGACCAGGGTTCTGACCCTGTAGAAACACACACTAGTGATTGCACATACCACACAGGCAGTCATTGCTGCATAGCAGAATATTTAGACTAGTGCTGTAGCTTACTAGTTAGAACTCAAAGGAAAATCTCTTCAAAGACTCCACTTCCCCTTAAGAAGTGATTTTAAAATGCCACTGTCCATCGAAGAACTACCTGTACCATGAGAACTGTTTGTGAGAGCAGATTCAATATGCTGACCTATGCAGTTGATGCTGGGGGAAAGGTCAGACTGATGAACAGAGATCTGTTGAAGCTGAGTTGTGCAGCTTTCTGTTTTCAGCCAGAAAGTCTCGGGAACCAAATTTTAATTAGAAAGTATGCCAGTTCTGTGTCTGACTTCTGGTTTGTGTTTTTCTTTGAAATAACACATCAAGGAAACCAGCTTCTACAGGGTGCACTCACTGGGCGGCATGGGCTTATAGGAAGTTGATATGCAGAGTGTTTAATTGCAATTCTAGTGACCTTAGTAGTTTTTCTTTGTTAATTTTTTTCATGATATTTTTTACGTCAGTAAGAGACAAGTCAAAGCCGGGCGTTGGTGGCGCACGCCTTTAATCCCAGCACTCGGGAGGCAGAGGCAGGCGGATCTCTGTGAGTTCGAGGCCAGCCTGGTCTACTGAGCAAGTTCCAGGACAGCCTCCAAAGCCACAGAGAAACCCTGTCTCGAAAAAAAACCAAAAAAAAAAAAAAAAAGAGACAAGTCAAATAAAATGTGAGGGCCTAGGATTACAGGTGATTTCAAGGTTTCCTTTGAGACAGATTGGGGGACATGAGGCATGAGACCAGGAGGGCCGTGGGGCAGCGAGCAAAGGGTGTGGTGTGCTGCAGAGAAGCCACTGCTTCACATGGTAACCAGATTGCTAGAAGACTACACAGATGACTAAAAACTTAAAACGTGCAAGACAGAAGGGAAAGTTGTCAGTGCTAGGCATGGTGGTGTCCACCTGCACCCCTAGCACTCCAAAGAGCGAGGCAGGAGAATCACAAGTCAAACGACATCCTGGGCTTTAGAGCTATTCAGTGAATTCTAGGCTAGCCTCGATGGCATACTCTGCCTTGTCTCAAAGAAGCCGTGAGATAAAGAACAAAAGTTTGGGTATCTATCATTCATTCAGCAGTCACTTAATGAGTATTCTGTGTACCAAACATTTTCTTGGTTTTCGAGATTAGGGCAAATGAAAGTGACTACCAGGCTTCATGGAATTAGGCTGGGGAACAGATAATAAATAATAACATAGATAATGAATGTAATTACAGGCTATGAGAGAGACCACAAGCTTTTCTAGTGTCTGACCTAAGGCAATTGAGTCAGGCCTGAGGACAAAGGGAGCAAAGGCGGCTCCCTGATCTCTTTAGACTGAGGACGAGGGTTAGCATGTTGGCATAAGGAAAAGAGTTTTGGAATGGTGATTTAAAATGTTTGCAGAAGCTAGCTGTGGTGACGCTATGATTCTAGCACTGCAGGTTCAAAGCCTGGCTGCATAGTGACTTCCAGGCCACGCTGGGTTTCCTGTGTCAACTAACCAGAAGACAAAAAAGGATAGACACAAGTGCTGGCGAGCATCAGGAAGACCCAGTGACCTGTGGTCAGATAACCATGAGTCTGTGGTGAGCCCCTCTCGCCCTTTCCCTTCCTCTCGCCCCAGCTACACCCCTGCTCCTGGTTTTTGAGACACAGCTTGGCCTGGAACTGGCGATCCACCTCCCAAGTGCTGGGATTACTGGTGTGCTCCATTATGCCTAGCTAGCAGAGGTTATTTTTAACTTACCAGGGCATCTCTGTCTTGGGACAGAGGGATCTTCTCAAAGCTGCGTTTGGAGAGAAAATTTAGGCATGTTTATGTCAAGTTGGGTGTTTTCAGGAGATTTGGGCTGTTTAATTCTCATTTCAGGACTCTGTAGTTTAACAAGACGCTTATAGCTTCTGATGGTGCATTTGCCTTACCTTAACTTTTTGATCCACGCATAGTTGAAGCAAATCCTAGAAAATTCAACCTGGATGCAACTGAGTTGAGCATAAGGAAAGCCTTCATCACAAGTACTCGGCAAATTGTCAGGGTAAGGTGCACTCCTACGGTATTAACTGTATAGGAGATAGACACACTTCTCAAAACCCACCCTCAATCACAGACCAGCAGGTTGACTCTGAAATAACCTGTTAGCATGAACTCAATGCAGGTGTCCCATATACAACTTCTCTGGCTCGGCGGAAGTGAGGTGGTGGGGTGGTGGTCGTGTCTACTTTTAATGCTATCTGGTTTGTTAGAATGAACATGAGACAATAAACGGCTGGCTAAAAGGTTAATTTAACAGCATGATCTCACTTGCCTATATCGCCAATTTCTTTAAAATAGTGATTAAAACAATCTCTTAATGTGTTCTATTTCTGGACAAAAGGAAAGTCTTGTAGAAGCATTTGGTTTCCTGATTGACTGTTAATCGTGTGCATTGTTGAAAAGTGGCTCTTCCTGGGTTTGGCTGGTGGCCCTCTCTACCATCTGAGTTGCTTCTGGAACTCCTACCACCCACGCTATTGCTTTTGCCATATACAACTGCTTGACAATCTCTTAGGAATTACCCAGAGCAAGCAAGCCAAGATGGCATGTAAAAATAAGCCATCAAGTAGACACATCTTTAGTACTAAATTATTTAGAATACTACCCACTAGTAAAGTGTAAAAGAGAGAATATAGTTTAGGTAAAATCTTGTGTCATTCAGATGTATTTTGTATTTTGAAACCATAGAGCTAAACTGTTTGATTAGCATAACTAGATGTAAGAGAAGCAGCTGCCATTAACATATGTCCTCGAAAGTAGCTTCCTTGAAGAAAAAGACTTGGGATCAGACCAGTGCTGACATATGGCAGGAACCTTGCTGTGTGCTTGCCAGAAACTTTCATCATGTGATTTCCTCATGAAAAGATCTGAAATGGTAGATTATCATGAACTTTATACACCCTTGTTTCTTGTTTCACTCAGTAGTTGGCCTTTCCCTGTACTTATAACTAGGTTGTGTGTATAACACTCACATGTCATAGAGCAGAGACCTTTTTGACTTCAGGTGTCCCACGGAGACATTGGTATTGGATTCAACATTCTGACTTTCTAGGCAGCTGTAAATGCTCTGCTAAGACACTGTTAGGTGACATCTTTTGTATATAATTCCCTCAGTTGTCTTATTTACTTATTTAGACAAGATCTCACTCTGTAGCCCTCACTAGCCTCAGACTCATGGTGATTTACTTGCCTCGGCCTCCAAGTACTAGCTTTGTGAACCACTGCATCTGGCTGTCTGAGCCTGCGAGTATGTGCGCCTGAACCAAACTCAGGAACAGCAGCAGGTGCCCTTAACCACTGAGCCATCTCCCACCCTCAATTGTCTCTTAAATATAGATGGTTTTCCTTCTCTCCCCCATCCTTGCTTCTCCTGTCCCATGTTCTTTTCCTCTCTCTTTTTCCTTCCCTCTCTTTTTAAATATTGGTTTTTCTGAGGGATGCCTAATATTTCATGGTGCCTTGCTGTAAAGTATATATTCTTTAATCAGTGCACTTACGTTTTCGGTAAGGTGGTATTTGTGAATTTTGAAAATTGGAATTCAAAGATCTCAGTATACTGAAAATTAAATTGGCATAATTATGACTGGAGGTAGATACCAAAGTTCATTTCTTAGTATTTGAAAATCTGTTTAAAGTACATCTTAGAATTACTTTAATTTTGAAGATTTTATTTATTTATTTTATGTTTATGAGTGCTCTATTGACTTTACACCAGAAGAAGGGATCAGATCCCATTATAGATAGTTGTGAGCTACCATGTGGTTGCTGGGAATTGAACATAATACCTCTGGAAGAGCAGCCAGTGTTCTTAACCACTGAGCCATTTCTCTAGCCCCCTTAGGATTATTTTAAATCATGGCAATATATCAGATTTTACTATCCTTATGGAGTTTGAGATTGAACCACACTCAGCTGTGTTTTCAACAGACTATTTGATAGACTTTTAGTTTTAATTTGCCCTCTTCCCCCCATTTTGCAAAACTGTTAGTAATTGCCAGCTTTACTAACAGTAATTACACCTGAACTTTTGCTGATTTGGTTTTAATAACTTTTAATTGACAGTCTTACAGAAAAGAAGAAAATAGGAGTCTCCTTCACTAAAAACAAAAGGTTGCCTGGTAGTGGTGGCACACACCTTTAATCCCAGCACTTGGGAGGCAGAGGCAGGTAGATCTCTGGGTTCGAGGCCAGCCTGGTCTATAGAGTGAGTTCCAGGACAGCCAGGGCTGTTACACAAAGAAACCCTGTGTCAAACAAACAAACAAACAAACAAACAAATAACCCTAAACAGTTGCGTGTATTGGCTTCAGTTTCTTGGTGTTCAGCTGAAGAGATCTCAGACTCTTGATAGAAACTGTGGAGAAGAGACAGGGAGGTAGCAGATTTGGGGAGTGAGGCAAGACAAAGTTTACAAAGGACTTTGAAACCACAGGCTTAGGTAGCACTAATGCTAGTGACCTTGCCCTACTTTTTTTTATGTTTTAATTTAAAAAAATTTTTTCATGTATAAGTGCTGTATTTCTATCATTGCTACTCTCCTCTCTCCCTCTTTCAATTCCTCCTCTGTCTTCCTCACTTTCTCTCAGATTTGTGACCTCTTTGTTCACTATTATTGTTACACACACACACACGTATGTATGTATGTACGTATGCATATGAATGTATGTGTGAATGTATACATGTGAATACATAAATAGAACCTTCTGTTTCTGTTTAGTGATGTTTGCATGTATATTTGTGTAGATCTAACTACTTGGGATTGGTAGCCTGTCACATGCTTGTCCCTGGAGAAGACTGAGTGTCCCTCCCAGCAGCCATTTGTGAACGTATAGGAGTGGAGCCTGTGACATTCCCACATCCATGTTAGGATATCAGCTGGTCTTGTTTAGGTGACCATTGTTAAAATTCCATGGATGCGTTTCCCTGTCATATATAGAAGACTCTGTCTCACAGCAGACTTCCTCGTCTTCTGGCTCTTCCAGTCTGTCCAGCCCCTCTTTGGCGATGTTCCCTGAACCTTTGCTGTAGGGGTTGTGTTGTAGATTCATCAGCTGGGGCTGGGCACCCCACGGCCCATTTTGACCGGTTGTGGTTGCTGTATGGTCTCCATCTGCTGCAGAAAGAGCTTCTGTGATGAGAGTGAGAGCTGTGCTTGTCTGTGGGGTAAGGATAAGCACTTAGAATGCAGTTGGGAGTTACTCTAGTTTAGAAAAGTTTTTACCATATGTTTATACACACACAAATGTATACCACACATATGACAAAAAAACCACACACACATATAATTATATAAGATATATATATACATATATATAAACTATATGTTTTTTATTTATATTTTAGGCAGGATCTCATTACATAGCCCTGGCTGGCTTTGAACTCATAGAGATCAGCCTGCTTCTGCCTCCCAAATGCTGGGATTAAAGGCATGTGGTACCATATCTATTCCTTCTGCTTTCTTTTTATTTGTTTAGTTTTTTTTGAGACAGGGTTTCTCTATATTGCCCTGACTGTCCTGGAGCTTGCTTTGTAGACCAGGCTGGCCTTGAATTCAAGAGATCTGCCTGCCTCTGCTGGGACTAAAGGCATGTGCCACCACAGCCTGATTTCTAGTGACTGTGTCATTTTGTCAGGCAGAGGAGTCAGTGGTACATAATAACTTTTTTATGTGAAGAAGCAAATCTTTCTCCTGTATGATTTATGTGCGTGCGACTTGTGCGTACTGGACAAGCACTGCCCCTGAGCTACAGCAAGAACCCTTCTCCCAAGTGACTTTCTGGTTAATATTCATTGGCCACACACTTTATACTCGTCCCTTGTGTGAAGAATTTTGTGTATGTTTTTCTAAGCATCTTCTAAAACTGTCCAGTTTTTTTTATTAGCTTTTCCTCATAAGTTTTAGCTGAAAAAATAAATTTTAGTTTTTATGTAACACAGCCCCTTTGTCCCCTCCTTTTCTTTTGGCATAGTATTAGAGATCAAACTGAGGTTCTCATGCATACTAGATAAGCACTCTAGCACTGAGCTACATCCTGGCTCATTTATATTCAGGTAATATTTTTACATTGCGGAATCATCTATTTGCCATTCAAGGCTTCACAAGGGAAAGTTTTGTTTTGTAGATATATCCTGCAAGTGACTTTGGGTTACTCTAGCGATTCACTACATTAAGTTTTGCAGCATATACCAGGAGAACAATAAGATCCCAGGAAACATGAGTTGTATGTTAAGCTCTGACCTTAATAGATTTTCATCACAAACCATAAGCCTCCCTGAACCTCCATTTTTATCTATGAAACAGTCCTTACTAACATTCTCTGATTTTAACTTTGGGAGGAAAATCAGAACTACACCTGCATCCTGCACCCAACAGTTCACAATATGTTTTCCTCAAGAACTGTTTGCCACTTATTAGAGCTGAAGTGACTTTGGGTTAGTCCAACAGGTTAAGATAAGCATGGGTACACAGATAGCATTGGGACAAGGGGCTCATGAGTGGGGAGTGTTGCCACCGACAATGTCTCACTCATTCGACTTGGAAACAGTTAAGATGAAAACAGAAACATAAATAACCAGGACATTTGTTGTTCTTTTGGCAGATGGATCATGTTTTATTGGGACTAACTGCTGATCCTAAGCTTCATGTGTTAGAAAGACGATGAGTAATTATGTTTTTGGCATGAAACATTGTTACAAGATGTTTAAAACTGCTTAGTAACACAGCTTAAAATTCCATGTCCCAGTGTGAAGGTAGTCTGCTGTGTGATGTCTGGTGACCAGCCTACATATATGAAATGCCATCCACACGTGAAGGCTATGCTCCACCACAACTGTGAGCATGTATATAGATACACAGCCATTAAGAGAGTGTACCCATCAGGAAGGACTCTCTCTCTCTCTCTCTCTCTCTCTCTCTCTCTCTCTCTCTCTCTCTCTCTCTCTCTCTCTCTCTCAAATAAAAACTTTAAAAATCTAAGATTTAAGCATATTTCATTCAGCTATTGCATGTTTATTAAAGAAAATTAGAGTAGTCTTTTACAAGAGGAGGAAAAATGCCCTGTAACTCAAAATAATCACTGATCCAGCACGGCTGTAGCTTCCTCTTGATGAATATCTGGAACCCTGTTGTTAATCAGGTACATGTTCATGTCTTAAGAATACTCTCAGCCTGGTGTGATGGTGCACACCTTTAATCCCAGCACTCAAGAGGCAGAGGCAGGATTGAGGCCATCTTGATTTACAGTGCGTTTCAGGACAACCAGGGCTACACAGAGAAACCCTGTCTCAAAAGACCAAAAAAGAAAATGAAAGTCTTCATTTAAATTTTATAAAACTTGCAACTGAAAAGTAGATTTACAAACCCAACTTTTTATGGGCATGCTTAAAAGAGTTTACCAATAACAGAATTTACATTTTAGTTAATTAAAATAATTCACTGATCTTGTTTGAAGGAACCACGGCCTGTGTGGCTCCTGTGTTGAAAGAGCAAATTTTGATAATCCTTTGCAATGGGTACATACTTATATATGTGTTCATTTCAGTGGTCACTGTTAATCACCACAGTGGCCCTGTGAGTGTCTGACGCAAATGTACAGAAGAAATGGAAATTTAGCAAGCTGCCCAACTTAGCCCAGTCACCTATTGCTAGGTCTTGAGCTCAGCTCATCTTTCTTGGTCTATCTGGGAAAATGCCTCTAGCTTTGCTCTGTTCACTGGTGGGCTAGTGCCTTTTCCATGCTTGGTTGTCTATCGTCTGCTTTCGAAAAGGAGGCTCCTGATCAGCATGCTGAGTATCTGTAGTACCGCAGTGCAAGGCTTTACGGTACCTTCCTTCTGCAGGAAATTTTTTACACATCCATTTTGGTTAATTCCTTTCCATAAATTGCTATTGATGGGGCCAAGGCAATGAACTTTCTTTTTTCTTTTTTTTCTTTTAAAGACAGGGTTTCTCTGTGTAGCCTTGGCTGTCCTGGAACTCACTCTGTAGACCAGACTGACCTGGAACTCAGAGATCCACCTGCCTCTGCCTACCAAGTGCTGAGATCAAAGGTGTGTGCCACTACTTCCCAGATGGCAGTAAGTATTCTTAAGTTGTTTGAAACAAAACAACAGAATTCACTTTCAAAGAGTATTAGTTTCTTAAATACTTTATTGACATACAGCAGTATAGAAAAAGTCACATATCCTAAGCAGTTTGGCGTGTTTATTACAGGGATACACCATTTGAGTAGCACTTAAAAGCATGAAGTAGGTTTACATAGTACTTCAGGAGCCTGTTGGAGGTGTGTTCAAGTCATTACCTACCCCTACCATCCAACTTTAGTCAGTAAACATATTGTACATACAGCATTTGAAGGCTAAGGTGCTACATGTTTATGCACACAATGATTCTATTATGGAAGTATCATGTTCATTGTTTTCTTAGAAAAACTTATAAACTGTTTTAGAAAGACTGTTATAAAGTTGGCAAACTGGTGAACATCTCCGATATTGCTCTTTCTTACTAGTAATGTACACTAAATAAATGTAACTTCTGGATTGAATAAATGTTATCTTAGACTAACTTAGTTGATAAACAGAAAGGGAATTCTGCAATCCTGGACATGCTATCATAACCATCTTGTTTGAGGTTTCTAGAATTTGTATATAGCAGAGGCGCTCGAGTTTCAGTCTTTGCTGACAGACCTGCTCTGTAGTCCAGGTTGACCTCAAACTCACAGAGATCTGCTGCCTCTGCCTCCCAAGCACTGGGACTAAGGGCATGCATCACTATCTCCTGGTTCAAGTTTCAGTCTTAAGACTTTCCAGAGAGACTTATTAATAAAGAGCCCGTGGCATAGGTCAGGATGGGTGTCTGAGTCAGGTCCTTCATTGTGTGAGTTCCAAGGGAGCAGAGAACTAAACCATGCCACCTGCTGCATGCTTGGTACATGTCAGACATCAGTAAGTGCTTGCTGAATGAATGATCAGGTACTTTGAAAGTTGAAGTAAGGTGGTGTTTCAGAATTAACCCTAGTAGGAATTGTAAAGCCAAGGCACGCCCAATCTAGCATTCGCTTGTCACAGGTCTTGATACCTGGCAGGGTATGATGGTGCACACCTTAATCCCAGAACAGGGAAACAGAAGCATGCAGATCTCAGATTTCAAGATTAGCCTGGTCTACACAGTGAGTTCCATGCCACTCAGGGCTACAGAGCAAGACCTTGTTTACAACAACTTAAGTTGAGTAGCATAACATTTGCATCTGTAAGAATAAGTCCACTTGAAATTTCAGAAAATTCAGAAACTCAGAGGAAAAATGCAGAAAAACAGAAAATTCCAAAGTATCTTGACCTATTTCTTTACAGAAAGAGAAAATTGTAATTACAACATACTTACTTTAGATTTTTTAAAGTATTTTCCATTGTAGTTAAATGTAAGAATTCAAATGGCTCATATCTAATGAAGTTTTGCTTAAATAACATATCCCTGGTTTTTGATAGGACTTTAGAATCACAGTATAGAAGCAGTCTATACCGTGAAGGGATGCTGCTCAGCAGTAAGGCACGTGCAAGAGTCTCTCAGTATCAATGGTAGATGCACTTTAAGAAGAGCAGGTTTTACGTGTGTTTTAGAGGATGCTAGTCCTGAGCACAGGCTCTGCAGTCACACTGTCACACTGTCCTGTTGACTGCATGACTCTGAAAAGATCAGTCTTTCTGGACCCAGGGCCCCTCAACCTGAAAACCAAGATCACGTCAGCTTGTTCAAGTTCAGGAAAGTTTGGGAGAGCCCTGATTCTGTCTGGTAGTTGCCTTTTTCTTTCTAGTTAAATTTAGTGTCTATATTACCTGTTTTTTTTGTTTTTTGCTTTTTTTTTTGGTTTTTACGAGACAGGGTTTCTCTGTATTGTTTCGGAGGCTATCGATCCAGCCTGGCCTCGAACGCACAAAGATCCGCCTGCCTCTGCCTCCCGAGTGCTGGGATTAAAGGCGTGTGCCACCACCGCCCGGCTATATTACCTGTTTTTAAGGGAAGGTCTTTCCTATTTCCTTTATGCTTGAAATGGAAAATAAAAGTCAAAGAATGCTGTCTTTTTTTTGCTTAAAGATAAGACAATCAATTGTGTATTTTGCTAATATGGGAAATACTAGCCATGGTTTTCTTTAAGGGCATTTTCCCCTTTGTTTTCTGCCCTTTCTGTTTGATTAGGACATGAAGGATCAGATGTCAGCTTCATCCGTGCAGGCATTGACTGAAAGGAAAAACAGACAGGTGAGAAAGCATCGGAATGCAAGTGTTCATTAAAGAAAATATGTGTTTAGATACTTGGGATTTGAAATTGCTGGCCATCCCTGGATCATGTGATCAAGAACAAGACCTGAGTACGCTGGCCCTGTGGTGATAGGGCAGGTATGGTGACCGTCTTTTTTGTTAGTGCCTGTTCTTATTACTTGCCACTGTAACAAACTCCCAAACTTATCTGCTTATAGAGAAGAGGGTTTTACTTTGGCTCGTTGGCAGATTTTACCCATGATTGGTTAGCCCCAGTGCTTTTGGGCATATAGCAAGACATCATGCCAGCAGGACACAAACCCCTAATTCCTCTTCTTTAAAAACATTTCATACCATATATTTTGTTCATATTGTTTGCTGAAAGAGCAGAGAAGCAGAGCAGCCAACCACTAGCCCTTACCTCTAGCTCAGACCAAAAGGGCAATCCTGTCTCTAGGAATCCTTAGACTAAATGCTATGAGTTCCTGTCTCCTCCCGCCTTGTATTCCTCTCTCAGCTCTGCCATATCTCTTCCTGCCTCCACCTTCCTAGTGCTGGGATTAAAGGCATGTGACTGCCAAGTAACTGAGATTAAAGGTGTGAGTCTTCACTTCCTGGCTCTGTTTCTGTTTTAAACTGAATCTATCTCGTGTAGTCCAGAGTGACCTTGAACTCACAGAAATATGTCTGCCTCTTCCTCCCTAGTGCTGGGATTAAAGGTGTGTGCCAATAGTGCCTAGCATCTATGGGTAACGAGTGTGGCTAGCTCTGTACTCTGATCTTCAGACAAGCTTTGTTAGAGCACAAACAAAATATCAGCACACTCCAGCTCTTCTCAGCTTTCCCCCTCCTTATCTACTCCATTTCATACTCTTTCTTTTTCTTAAAAAAGCAAAGCCAACAACATGTTGTGTCCATTTTGTGTTGGTGAACTACTTCTGAACATGTGCCCTGCCCTAGAGTATAGTTAATAATGCCCAACGAATAATCTATTTTTCTTTGAAGAATAGGTTTTCACTCCTCCAGCATCATTTAGTGGCAACTAGCCCACTTCCTCGTCTCCATGCTGGGGTTCTGTCCGGTTTGAACCTGGGCAGGGCTTGTCCATGCTGTCATAGTTGCTGTAAACTCATGTGCGCACCAGTTTGTCTAGAGAAATGCTATCTCCTTGGAGTGGCTCACCATCTCTGGCACTTACATCTTTCCATCTCCTCTTCTCTGTAGATCCCTGAGCCTTGAGGGGAGGGGCGTGATGCAGACACCTCAGTTAGGAACAAGAGCTCCAAAGTCTTTGACTCTGCACACTGTCCAGTTGTGGGTTAATTACCATCTACCTCAAGAAGCAGCTTTTCTGATGAGGGTTCATCTATGCACTGATTTTATGGTATTAGCTACACTTTAAAAGATTCCATTATCAGGGGTGCCTCAGGCAGACATTGAGACAAACATTAGCTTCTAGACAGCTTTCCTCAATACTGCCACTCTCTCCCCTCAACTCCCCTGCTCCTGCCCATGGACCCATACCACCTTCTGCTCCTCAGGCACCTCCTGTGAGCCAGGCTTCTGCTAAAGACTCTTAGTAACTTGCTGTCTTTTTCCGGGACTCCAGGCTCCTTGATGACGGCATGATTATTTTTGAATTTTGATATAGCCAGGAGGTTGTCTGTGCCCCCTAAGATGGCTACAATTTCAAGGCCAGTCAGGTCCACATTAGTGTGAGCTCAGTACTAGCCTGGGTTATATAGTGAAACTTTGTCTCAAAACAAAAAAAAATGAAATTGATGTAGATAATTGAGTAATTCTTAACATGTTTCAATTTTATTTTTATTTTATTTTATTTTTTTGAGACGGCCTCTTTACTTAGCCCTGATTGTCCTGGAATTCAGCATATAGACCAAGCTGGCCCTGAACTCACAGAGATCCACCTGCCTCTTGCTTCCCAAGTGCAGGGATTAAAGGCATGGGCTACCATGCCTGGTGGCACATTTCAGATTAAATCTCTTCATTTAAAAATGTTGGTTATTGATTTGAGGAGGGGATTGTTTTGTTTATTTTGAGAGAGGGTTTTGCCATGCATGTAACTATGGATGGCCTATGTAGCCCAGGTTGTCCTGAAACTCAAAACAATCTTCGTGCCCTAGCTTTCTGAGTACTGGGATTACAGACCTGAGCCGCCATGCCTGGTTGTTGAAAGTACTTTAAGAAATGGCACACTTTTGTATAAAAGAAACTCGTCTGGGGGCTGGAGAGGCGGCTCTGCAATTCCAAGCACTTGCTGTCCTTCCAGAGGATGGAGGTTTGAATTCAGCTTTTGATACCTGTAGCCCCAGCTCCGGGGGATCCAGTGCCTTCATTCATATGCTCATAGCCACCTGCAGACACACACTAACACAGGGTTCCAATTGTTAAAATATAATTCTTAAAAAATATACAGCTACCACCTAGAACTAAAGTTGCCTTGAAGTTGGGATTGGTTTGAGTTTCTTTTGGTGAGGTAGAATATTCCTTCAAGTCTGTTCTTGTTTGCTTGGGTTTCTTTATGTTTGGTTTTTTGTTTGTTTGTTTGTTTTCATTGTTCTTAATTACCTCTCCTTCTCATGTTCTTTTTTGGAACTATAGCTAGGAAAAGCTATTGGTCATCTTGTCCCATCTACCTTGAACCCTTCAAAGGAGCTAGTGAATGGCCAAGGTGGCCTTTATCTCATGGGCCTTTGGCACACACTTAGCTAGACCTTAGCCAGCTTGCCCTAACACTGCTCCCCACTGCTCCTTCTCATCTTCCCTAGCTGCTCTCCTTTTGGAGCAGAGACCATCCGTGAGGCTCATCCTGGAGGTCTTGAAGACAGAGAGAGCCCTTCCTGGTGTTGCTCAAACCATTTCACCAGGCAGAAGCCTGCACTGCCACATCAGAGTCTGGTCCAGGTTTGAGAACGGTTTAAGTGGCTCAGCAATCGCTCCCGAGTATTTGCCTAATTGTTTGTCCTTACTCACACAGGCACTGCTAGGAGACAGCAGCAGCCAGAACTGGAATACTGGAGTGACGGATCGATATGGGCGCCTTGATCGAGAGCTGCAGCTAGCCAACTCCCATTTCATTGAGGAGCAGCAGGCACAGCAGCAGGTACCTGAGAACAACCAGCCAAGGACAGGAGGTAGCAGGCAGGGTGCCTCCCCTGACTCTTCAGCTAGCTGTAGGCTCATTACCTAATGAGTAGGTTAGACCCGAGCGAGTGCTATGCTTGGTTGTCCGGGTGTAATGATTTATGTACTGTTTAAAGTCTTGAGAGCATGGGATCCCAAAGAACCAGACTTGACCAGACCCCAGGAAATGCAGAGCTGGCATCAAAAGTGACAAGACCAAGGGTTTGTGCGGGTTTTGGTTTAGTTGCTGTTTTGAGATGGGTTCTCACTGTAGCTTCAGATGGCAGGCTGGCCTCCATCACAGAGATTTGCCTGCTTTTGCCTTCCAGATACAGAGTTTAAAAATGTACGCTACCCCCAAATAAGGCCAAGGATTTTTAAAAAAGAAAACAATCCCTCTTTCCTCTTCCCCTTTGTACATTCAGGTTTTTATTTTTTAACAAAGATACTTTCAGAAACATTGAGGTTTTGATTTTTTCATTGAAAGTTGTTAACTTGTTCATATAAATATATATATGAAGCCAGTTGCTTTGATGGAAGTTGAGGTATAGAAAGAAAATAAACTTGTCTCCATATTGTTACATCTTCTATTTATGTATTTATTTTAGTGAGACAGAGTCATGCTGTGTAGTCCAGACTGGCCTTGAACTCATGGTTGTTCTGCTTCAGCTTCAAGTGTGTTGAGCTCTTAGGATTGGATCACCATGCCAGTTTGTGTTCTTGCTTTTATAGATAGCAATGCTAGTAAAAGGAAGCTAACAATTACATTACATATCAGGATATGAGAATCACCTGTCCATTGAAATTTTGGTTCATAAATACCATGTTTCATGTATATATGTAGACTTTGTGTTATTTTGTTCTACTTGCATTATCACATTAGCCTAACAAGTTGTTTGCTCTCAAAATGTTACGATGAAGCAACGTTTTTAATAGAGAATAAGGGGAGCAGGCACAATTAAAGTCTGTCTTTGTCAGCCAGCAGTTGTCATTGAGGTAAATCATTGTCCTTGAAGAAGAGGAGACAGACCCTGTGCAGTCCTCCTATATCCAGAGATTTTCTAGGCTCTCTTTCACTGTTGCTGTGGCAATGTGTTGTGGACTGAAACCTTGATCTTGGCAGTGGGCTTCCTCTTCCTAACCAGCCCGTGATGTGGTGGTCATATGCCTGTGTGCTGTCGGCCATTGTCTGTTCCCTTATTGGATCTTAGCCAAGCAGAGTAAATCTATCTCCCTTGGTGGTTTTAAGCCCTGCTGACTGTTCACAAGTTGGATCAGCAGGCGATATGGGTAGCTTGACAATCCAGTCTTTGGAGCAGTGTGTTCTCAGAGGCAATGGTCTGCGTCTTTGATTCTGGGCTTTGCTTTTGAAAGTGAATTGTCCCAAGCTGGCAAAGAAACTAGCAGCTGCTGGAGTGCTGGGCTTGGAACCAGGTAAGATGGATTTTTAATTGCTTATTTCCGTTTCCCTGGCACCAGCTGATTGTGGAACAGCAGGATGAGCAGTTGGAGCTGGTCTCTGGCAGCATCGGGGTGCTGAAGAACATGTCCCAGCGCATTGGAGGGGAGCTGGAGGAACAGGCAGTGTGAGTAGTGAGATGCCCTTATCTGCAGTGAGGATGAGGGGGGAAAGCCATCCCATGAGACCCTGAAAACCTAACTGTGAATCACATGGCTGGTAAAGAGTAAAAACAACTTAATTTACAGTTTTTACTTTGTTGCCCAGATTAGCTCCCCTAAAGAAGCAAATCTACCAGATAAAATTCACAATGGTAGTTTAGGCAAAGCTGTTACTTTAAAAACCATTTAAAAGCTAGACAGATTTCTTTGAGCAGATTCTTTTTGTTTGTTTGTTTGTTTTATTTTTTAAAGACAGAGTTTCTCTGTGTAGCTCTGGCTGGCCTGGAACTCACTCTGTAGACCAAGCTGACCTTGAACTCATGAGAGCTGCCTGCCTCTGCCTCCAGAGTGCTGGGATTAAAGGTGTGCGCCACCACCCCACGGCTCTCTTAGTAGATTCTTTAGGCCTACAGACAGAACTGTAGACTCTGGAGGCAGTGTTCTGAAGGGGATAACAGGCATGAAGGAAGCCTTGTGAAGGACCTGATGGGGAGTCAGAGGATAGCAGGAAGGACCTTGTCAGTGTGACATGACTTTTCAGAGTGGTAGGAGCACAGGGAGGCAGAGTTTGGAGTGATGGCGTGAGCAGGTGCTGGGACTGGGATGCTATACCAGAGTGGAGCCAGGGGGTGTGCTGATGGGAATCTAGAGTAACAGGAACCTAAATGCACAGGTTAGTTTCCATTTAAAATGGAAGGGGCTTGCGCCACTTTGTTGGTGAGGCAGCTTGAGAATAAAGATAACCTGAGAGACGGCTAGTTAAAGATACTGAAGTGACGACAGTCTGTAGCTCCATTCCCTTCAAAGGCACCACAGCAGTAACAGAAACGTTTTTTTGCCATGATATAAAACCTCTGGAGAACATATAACCGGAGACATCAGTTATAACAATTTAGATGATGGACAGCAGGCAGGCAGCTGGTTGTGGATTCATAGGCCAAAGAAAGCTGACCCTTGAGCCAGTGGGGAGTGAGCAAGAAGCAGTGTGCATACCACTACAAACCCCTCAGCTGTGACTAGCCTGCACTTAGGTGACTTAAAGTTAATGTGAATATTGATCTAATCCAATTGTGACACAACTGTTTCAAAGAAGTGGGAAGGATTCAGGGGTGAGAATTACATGGACTAGGGCTAAATCCTAATCTAACAGTACTGCACCATCAAGAGAAGTCTGAGGACAAAAGTCAGCATTGTAAGACACAAGCATGCTTCTTCAGAAGTGGAGAGAGTACCAGAAGCAGCTGAAGTGATGGGAACAGAGAGAACTGTAGTTTATATAAATCCCTGTCGCTCTGTTTCCTTTTTAAAGTAGATTCTGATAAAAATAAGACAGAAGAAATATGGGCCCTGAGCTGATAGATACATGTGCTATATACATGTGCTAGCCACCAACCTCATATAGCTACTGAGCATGTGCAATGTGGCCAGACTGAACTAAGATGTGCTGCGAGCGGAAAGTGAATGCTACAATTTGAACATTGTTAAACATGAATATCAGAGGCTGAGGATGTAGCTCCATTGGTGTAGTCCTTGACTAGTGTGCACTAAACTCTGCAGTGAGTGCCCAGCAGTGTATCAGCCAGATGCGGTGGTTCACACATTTGTGGGGTAGAAACAGAAGATCAGAAATTCATGATCATCCTTGTCAGTTTGAGACCTGCCTGGACTGCGTGAGAGATCCTGGTTCAGTGTAAACCCTTTTAAAAGCACAGCTGCCAGAAAATGCAAAGTGCCATTTGAGACCTGCATGGTCTTTCTGTTGGGCAGAACCTTGGCTGTGACTGTGCTTGGCTGAAGATTGAGTGGCATGCCTGTTTCAACTCTAGCAAAAAAAGTTACACCCAGCCACACAAGTAGTCCTTGTTTTTCAGTGCGTGGCCTGGAGATGCCAGCCAGCCACAGGATCAAAGTGCTGCCAGTTTCGGAGATGAGCTAAACAAAGACTTATTTACTTAGTTGTTAATGTGGAGTTTGACAGTTAACTTAATGAGGGCTTAGTGGCTCTAGATCCTGAGGAACTGTCATGTGTCCTTTGTGGGCTTGCCCCAAACCAATGGCTTATAGCTACCAGTGACACTGTCAAAGTAAATAAGGTCTTTGTAGGAAGGCCCCGGTACTAATTGGTGTGTGAATTTTAGCTTCAAAGTAATCATATTCTAGTCAGAAGTTGAAGTCTGGAATGTGCTGTAATTTATGAAACAATGGTTCCTAGAATACAAGTACAGTGTTCAGTTTGCTGGATAACAAATAGTGGAGGCCTCCCCAGCTGGTTCTCCAGTTCTCCTTGGAGAAACTGAAGAGATGGGGTCACACACACACACACACACACACACACACACACACACACACACACACACACCATCCACACCCTACAGCATACACCATCAAGGATGTCAGGCCTCTGGCTCTTAACTTACAATAAGGCAGAGTGTTTTAAAGGAGAATCTAACTGATTTGAAGTCATTCCTTAACTCACACTGGCATTAAGCACTTCCGTGTGTTATGAGGTTTTTACTCTCAACAGGAATTGGGTTGGTAGAGGCACCTACTTGACAGGTGACAAAGTCTCAAGGAGTTGTATAGGGCGCCTTGTTCCAGGCAGCAAGAGACAAAGGCTGGCTCCCTTTGGTACTGTGCCTGAGCTGGCAGTGCCATCTAGTCAGAGCCACACCACCTTGTCTGCGAATCTGAAGTCCACAAATCCAAGTGTTCAGTTTGCAGCAGACTCATGTGATGGAAAAGCTCATCTGAACTGACTGACGCTGTGATTCCTCGTGGGCTCTGCAGAAATACAAGCGTGCTTGATTATGGGAACGCTGCCAGACCTTGCTGAGGGTGTTAGCTAACCTATAGCACATGTAACTTACCTTAAAACCAAAACCAAAGCCGTAGATTCCCAAATTTATAAAAATGCAAGTCATCCCAAGAATTTGGGGTAATAGAATGCAATCCTGAGTCCCAGAGGCCCCTTTTTATCTTTACTGAGACAGAGGCCCAGACCCACTGTAATCCACAGCGGATGCAAGGCTCTGTTTACCACCTGCTCTCTCTTCCTCTCAGCATGCTGGATGACTTCTCTCATGAGTTGGAGAGCACTCAGTCTCGACTGGACAATGTGATGAAGAAGCTTGCAAAAGTGTCTCACATGACCAGTGGTATGTATGTGTAACTCTTGGGAACTCCTGCTTAACTCTGCGTGTGACATTCCCTTGCCGGTGTTACTTTAGGGTCAGGAAATGGAATGCTAGTGTGTAGAGAACATAACTTCTGCTCACGATCTTGTACCCAGCACTTGCTGAATATTCTCCTAGTGCAGAAATTTCCTTGCAATTATAAAATCCTTTTTTTCACTTTTTTCTATTTCTCTTGCCACATTAGAGAACCTGAAATTTTTTCCTTTGGTATTTTTTATTTTAGCGTGTTATGTATGATGCACTCTTGCCACAGCACATGTGTGCAGCAGGCATGGCAGCAGGTACTTTTGCCCACCAAGCCGTCTCACTTGCCCTGGGGAACTTACTTAAAGCCACAGCTGGTATACCATTTGCTCCTTCCTTTGAACTATCTTCCTTTCATCATTAGAAAAGCACCTACTGCCTCAACTATACTAGCCTAAAGTGCTGTCCTAGCAAGTGTGTGCCAGGGTGGGGTGGAGAAGGAGGTTTTCAGGTCAGTTTCTGTGTTTGAAGATGTTTTCTAATGACTACATTTTTTTTTATCACTACAAATTGCCTTCCTTGTCAGACAGGAAGTGACACATTTTAAGTCAATACCCGTATCTCCTCTTTATCTGGAGGGAGTTGCTTGGTGCATGGAAGAACTGAGATATTTCTTGAGGTAATTTGAGTACTTTTGGGCCATAGGACGCCTGCCTCTCTCATTAAAAGACCCTTCCCCCATTCCCTGAGATTGCACCCCTCTGTTGGTTCTCTGCTATCAGGTACACATGACATGGAAGATTAAAATACAGATGCCTGTGTGCTCTTCAGCAGCTTACAGTGTAGCTAAGTTACAGAAGAGTGTCTGGGGCTTCATCTCTTAACTAAAAAATCAAGGATGTAGCTATTCCTCAGTGGTAGACTACTTGACCAGGCATGGGTGAGGCCCCATGTTCTCTGCTAAGCACCATAGAAGGGTGAGCATTGAATGAAAAACAATGCAAAGGTGTTTAGAAGTCGATTCATACTCTGTAAATACCTTAAACTACTGCAGGGTAGAAAAGAATGAAAAACAATGCAAAGGTGTTTAGAAGTCGATTCATACTCTGTAAATACCTTAAACTACTGCAGGGTAGAAAAGAATGAAAAACAATGCAAAGGTGTTTAGAAGTCGATTCATACTCTGTAAATACCTTAAACTACTGCAGGGTAGAAAAGAATGAAAAACAATGCAAAGGTGTTTAGAAGTCGATTCATACTCTGTAAATACCTTAAACTACTGCAGGGTAGAAAAGAATGAAAAACAATGCAAAGGTGTTTAGAAGTCGATTCATACTCTGTAAATACCTTAAACTACTGCAGGGTAGAAAAGAATGAAAAACAATGCAAAGGTGTTTAGAAGTCGATTCATACTCTGTAAATACCTTAAACTACTGCAGGGCAGAAAAGACCCCACAGGACAAGGAACCATCAAATCCAAACCAAAAAAAAGCTCAAGTTAAGTCTTTCTCGAGGCCAAACGTCTTTATGCTTCAAGCAGGCACCGACGCAGTGTATCTTCCCCATAACTAGAGAAGGCTTTTGAAATGTATTTTCTGGTTCCCTATGTTCTCTCCTCTACCTGTGTAGCACTCTAATTTATGTATCTGTTTTAAATTTGTATGTTTGTGTGTGTGGTAAACGTGTTTTTGCAGGTGTGTGCGTGTGTGGAGACCACACGTTATTTTAATTTTACTGTTCATTTATTTACTTACTGTGTGTATACATGCATGTGTAGGTCAGAAGACAGTTTGAGGAAGTCGGCTCCGCCCACCATGTGGGTTCTGGAGCTCTAACTCAGGCTGTCAGGCTTGGCACCTTTCTCCACTCAGCTCTCTTGACAGCCTCTCAGCCTTACTTTTTTGAGACTGAGTCTCTCTTTAACCTGAAACTCACCATTTTGGCTAGATGGCTGACCAGGGTGAGCCCCTGATTCCTGTCTCTGTCCCCTTGCCCTCCCCCACCCCAGCACTGGGGTTATAGTTGCACAACTCTATACTGTGGTTTTACATGGGTGTGGGGATCCAAACTCAGACTGTCATGCTTAACCCGACAGACACTATACCCACAGAGTCATCTCCTCACCACCTTTGTATTTAAAAAAAGTTGTCTTAAGGAAGTACTACATAACAAGTTTAAACAGCAGCGCCTCCCTGGTGTGTGTGTTAGCTGTCCTTCAAGTAGCTACTTCAGCAACACTCTGTCAGGGAGGTGGGTGAACAACGGTGACCTGTGTCTTTTGGTCTTTTGTTTTCTAGCCTGGGTGTGAATAGTTTAGGAAAATCCTGGCAGTGTGTTTGTAACACTGAGGCTTTCTTATGCTTTATTCTACTTCTTCCAGAAAGAAAAGTTTGGGGAACAACATGAGATACTTGGTTATATTTGTCTACAGAAAAGAGCCAGGTATATCAGCAACTAGCAGTCTTCATTTTCATTTTTGCTTGCTACCAGAGACGTACTGCTTCAGCTTGTTGTCTCTTTTCTCTCCTTAACTTTTGGTTAATTAAGTTCATTGCTTTATTATCTAACCTTGTGTAAAGACAGTCTGAAAACACCAGAGTTGATTGAGCAGGGCTGAGCACACGTCAGCAGTTTCTGAGAGTCAGGCCCTCCGTCCATTCTTGGCTGGCCACTTCTTGTGAGAAACGGGCCGCTTTTGTGAATGAACCAAGAGAGACACTAATTTGCTTTCTCTTACCCAGAGAAAAATACTCTTTTGAATAAAGCCAAGATCCCCTCCTTGATCAACAGTCTGTGATTCATCTTTTCTCTCGAAGACAGGAAAATATTTCAAGAAGGAAACTACCTTTGGAGTTCCTTTTGTCTTTCTCAACAAAAGTATACTCTGTGCTGTAGGTGTAGCTCAGTGGTGGAGTGCAGGCTTAGCTCTGAGTTACATGCCTGGTACTGCAGTTAGGACCCATTCCTGGCGTGCTTGAAGCCATACAGGAAGACCACAGATGTTGGCTAAGGTAGTAGCTCCCTAGGGTTGCCTAGTTCATGCCTAGTAGAAGCAACTTACCACTTCAAAGCAAAGTGGCCTTGAAAGTGCAGGCCTGGGCTGTGTTAGCTCTGTGGTGGTCCGCTTGATTAGTGCTCCTGGGCTCTGTCAAGTTGCCCAAGAGAAAGCCATTGGGGGAAAGCCATTGGACTGTCAGAGGCAGAGTGGGTCTAGGAAATCTGGCATTTAGATGGTGGGATGCTGGAGGGGGAGGAGCAGGAAGTATGTGTGAGGTTGTAGAAGAGGAAGGAGGAAGCAGTTACCTTCTCTGGCTTTAGCCTGGGCAAGTGTCAGTTGTTTTTAATAAAGTGATTTATTTTTCATTTTTATATTAATAAGCTTATTTCCTTTCTTCCTCCTCCTCCTCTTTTTGTTTGCTTTTTGAGTCGGGGGTCTCTCTATGTAGCCCTGGCTGTCCTAGAACTCGCAGAGATCCACCTGCCTCCGCCTTCCAAGTTCTGGGACTAAAGGTGTGAGCCACCACACCTAGCCTTGATGATGCTGATGATTCCCCTCCTCCTCCTCCTCTTCCTCCTCCTCCTCATTTGTTTTTGAGGCAGGGTATCATTGTGCAACCCTGGCTGGCTTGGAACTTGCTCTATAGATCAGGTTAGCCTCCAGCTCACAGACATACATCTGCCTGCCTCTGCCTCCCAGTGCTGGAATTAAAGGTGTGCGCTACCACACCAGGCCCATGTATGGGTTTTGATAAAAATATATGTAGCCATCATCATCCTGTCATACAGGACAGCCTTTCTTCTCTAAAACGTCTTGGTTAATTTACTTTTTGGAATTAACACATAATATTTGTACATATTTATGAACTGCATAGTAATGTTTTGATCTATGTGTACATTTGGTAGTGAAGAAAATGGCATATCCTGCACCTTACCATGTTTCCATTTCTTTCATATTCCCCAACAGGCTGGTTGAGCTTCTGGAAGTAAAGCTCACCAATGTTGGGTCTCCTTTGACTGGCCATATCTTAGACTTGTCCACATGGACTCCTCCACAGCTGGTCGGTTATAGCTCATGGTTCCCAGCCCCACACTGGTTCTAATGGATAGGGTGATAAGGCACAGTCCTCCATGGTGGACTGGAATCTGTAGACTCTCCAGCAGACTTTCACAACCTCTATACCTTTATTCTTCTGTTCCGATGGAGTTGTTACTCTTGCTGGTTCAACTACGTTTCATATTGTGTATGTGCTTGTGGAGGCTAGAGGTTGACTTTGAGTGTCTTCCTCTATCACTTTCCTTTATTGATTTTAGTTTTGAGACCTAAAACTTGTAATTTTTGCTCTAATGACTGGCCAGCTTCCCACCAGCCTTGGGCTCCAGGCCATGCTGCCATGCCTTATTCTCCCGAGTTCAGGGTGTTGGAACTCAGGTCTTCATGTCTGTGCACTAGACAGTTTGCATAGGCAGCCATCCCCATCATTGTTCTTTGCTTTTTATTAACAGAATTTGTGTAACTCTGGCTGATTTGGTACTTGTATAGTTCAGGCCGGCTGCCAACTTGTGGGAATCCTGTGTCAGCCTTCCTAGTGCTGACTAACAGGCATAACCAGCATGCCTAGCTCCTTAGTGACATTCTTTTGTAACTTCCTGGTCCTTGGTGGAGGACACTGGGACTTGCCAGTGGAAATGCCACTCACATGGTCTACATCTCGTCAAGTTTCTTAAGTGTCTTAATGATGATGGCGTCTCAGCATCTGGAGCGTGGCCCCTGCACAGCCTGTGATTCAGTTGTTACTTAACCCTCACAGGGGCCCCGTGGGTTAAGTCCTAGATGACTAGGACTGTGGACTGCAGCAGGCATTCCCGGGCCTATCTGTCCTTCTGTCATAGAGAGGACTTCCCTGCTCTCATCCACACAGAAGACATCTAGCTTCTTTGTTTCCTGTGCCAATTGCTCACAACTGGTGGTAGGGCTGAAGGTTTCAGCAGACACTGGCCTTCACTCACAGATACACTATGGAAGTCATTTGCACACACTGACTAGATGTGATGTGAAGTTGCTCGTTCCCTGTCGTGGGTGTTTGCGTACTCACTGCCCATCCCTCGAGTGACCAGCAGGGCTTTCTTCTCCTTTCCACTCTCCCGGTACACCTAAGAGCAGAGCCTGGGCACTGCTGAACTGCAGTTCTTTGGTGGGAGAGTAAAGCAGGCGGGCTTTGATCTGCCACACTAGCGCCAGCAGCCTTTTCACTGCCGCACAGACCGCCAGCAGCAAGCTAAGATCCGTGGCCTTCACTAGGGGCTTGGACTCACAGCCTGTACTTAACGGCCGAGTTGAAGATGTGCTTGAAGTGTAGCCCCAGGCACAGCATGGGGCTTGGTGCCCGGGCAGGGCCAGGATCTGCTCTGCCCCTCCTGGCTTCAGTCTGAGTACCTGTGTCTCGGGGAGGGAGTGCCTAATCCTGGGAGGGTCATCTCTGTGTCCTGCCTTCCAGATCGGCGCCAGTGGTGTGCCATAGCCATCCTCTTCGCAGTCCTGCTGGTCGTGCTGATCCTCTTCCTGGTGCTGTGATGTCGGCCCTCCTCAGGCCCTTCTGCACACGGACTCGGGAGAGGAGAAGCAAGCACTCGGCCACTTACCTTCCTCTCCCAGAAACACGCCACTGCCTGCTTCCTCCGTGTGACTCCGCCACTGAGACAGCTGTCTCTCCCAGCGCTGGAAGGACAAGGTTGGAAGAGGAAAGAGGTCACCACACCTCAGCTGGAGAGCAGAAGTCCCGGCTGCCCATTTTTTCTGAGGACAGCCAGCCACTGCTTTGCCTTACTGGACCTCTCTCCTTGAGGAAGACTCAGAGTCATCAGAAGAAATAACTCTGTTGCTTATTCTGTTGGTCTCTGGCAGCCCCTTCCCTCTGCTCAGATCCTTTCCCTGCTTAGATGGGCGCTGTTGTCCCTTCAAAGGAAACCTGGCAGGAATGGGGCATTTGGGGAGGACTTTTCCTACTGGGTTGTATTTCTTAGTCCCCCAGGAGCTGGCTTTGGAGGAGGACAGAAGGCTCAGAAACACTTCATGACAGAAATGCAGTGTTTCATTTTGCTGGGTAAGAGCTGAGATTAAATTCCTTTCCCAGGTGTGCTCATGGCAGGGCTAAGCCACAGGAAACAGTGAGATCCCTGGGGGCTTGGGAGTGCTGACGACAAATGGCTTTAATGGACAGGAGCAGTTGAGCACAACAGCACCTGTGTTGGTCCAACTTAATGAAGAGCTGGTGATGTCTCCAGAAGCCGGGCCAGACCTGCTGACTGTCTGTCCCGGGGCTTTCTCCCCCAGAGGTACAGCTGCATTCTTAGAGTGCCCCTCCATACAGCGTTGGACAGCATAGCAGCACTGAGTTGGGTGGGACAACGCCTTCTCCTCTGGTGCCTTTATTCTGATGGCAGTCCGAGTGAGGTGGAGGGTCAGACATTTATTGCAGTTATGCAGAAACTGTCCTGACGTACACAGGCTGGTTCAGAGCTAGACATCCCTTACTCTGTAATAGCTCGGGTGGGTAAGAGAATTTAATTCCTTGTTCTCTGAGGAGATGACGCCTCGACTCCATCATGCATTTGAGTAACTGGCAGATGGTCTGTTGGGTTAAAGTAGCTGAGAGCCGCTGACACTAAACTTCAGGCTTCAGGTGACTTTTTAGATGCTTCGATGTGCTCACATCCAGAGGATTTTTTATAATGTCCCTGATGCATAACCTGGTATTACAGCAGCTGTCAGGCCCAGGGCTGGTCCTTCACAAAGGAGGCTGCCGCTGTTCCATTGTCTTCTGTGCTGGGAAGAGCAACAGCTGGACAGAGTTTGACCTTTGACCTCCCTTGCTTTGCCTTTCTGTGCATTCCTTAGCACGCCAACTTAAAAAAAGAAATCCTGGGTTGTTCATATTCCTTGGGATTTTGATTTAGGATCCCCTTTTTTGTTTTGTTTCCCAATGATGTGCTTGCCCAGCTAACTTTTAAATTGCACTTTTAAATAAATATTTGTAACAATTTTTAAAAGAAGGATATTTTATCTCATTTAGGATCACGATAAGGAAACCTACCTGTTGGTGAAAGCTAAAAGTTGTAAAACCAAAAGTGTCGTCGGCACCACGTTTACATTCAACTCTGGTGTTTGATACAGAGATGTTTTTTCTTTTCAGATTAGAGAAAAATGTGAATATTGCAAAGGGCTTCAATGTAGGGTCTGTGTTATTTATGTTTCACGGAATTTTAACGTTTTGAATAGTCTTCTGTGAACTTAGGCCATGGATAGTCCTTAGATTTGCATTAAAATATAGAAGCCTTTTGTTAAAAATCAATGTGGGCCTTGTCTGAGTACTGTAACCCACACTCCACATTACACAGCCGTGAGCAGTCAAAGAATTAGAATTACCCTAGTTAAAGCCATGCTCTTCTGCTGTTAGAAGAGTGTCAGTCTGACCCCTTCAGAAATGCCCACTACTTTAGTAAGATCGGTTTAGGGAGGAAGTTTGTGACCCTGGGCTTAATTGTATTGGATCTATTTTTGAATTGGTGTGTTGACCTCACTGATTTACTTGTTGAACAGTGTTGTAGACCTGAAACAGGCTGGACTGTGTGTGCAGTGTGTACAGAGGAAGTCAACTTCATATGCAGGTGTCCCTCCCTGGGCCACATCGTCCTCAGCAGCTGGCTTAGCCCAGGCCCATCCTTTTGTGCCTGGGCAGCCGCTACAGAGCAAGGGCTCCTTTGAAATTGTGGCCGAGAGAACAGGACATGACTTTCTTCCTCAGTGACCTAGAGAGCTGAAGGGTTTCTTCTACCATGTGTCCTAGAACAGGGAGGGGGCAGCAGGGTGCCCCGCCCTGCTCGCAGGGCAGAGTCTCTTGCAGATCCCCGCCCCCTCCCGCCTTCTGCACTGTCTCAAATCCGTCACGATTAGAGAACTGGCAGAACATGCTGGATAACAGAAAGCTCAGCGTGCTTACTGGAAGAACACTTTACTTAACTGTTTGGGGGTGAGATGGAGGATGATCCATTGAGGGAGTTTGCCAGAGTGCAGATCCAACCGGAAAACCAAATTACCTTTAGTTTTCAGCCTACATTTTGGGTCTTGTCTTTGTTTGGGCTGGGAAATCCCAATGCTCTGCATGCATGCTCTGGACGGTGAGGCAAAGGGAATTGTCATGTATGCCTGAGCCCTCGCCTTGCATTTTCTTCAATTTCAGAATTCAAGCTAGAGCTGAAGCAGGGAAATTTGGTAACTTGCCCATTATTCTCTGCTTTTAGCCAGAGTTAAACAGACTGATGGGTCTGCTAGCCAACAACTTGGCAACTCCCATGCCTTCTCACCTCGTGCGAGTAAGGGCTGTGAAGAGAAATCCAGTCCGACTCCAGCAGGAGTCTGTCTCTGTTAGTGCTGTACCTTCTGTACAGAAAGGTGCTGCGGCCAGGGTTTTCCTTGTGATAATTTCTCTGCCCACAGAGTGAGACCAGAGCGGCATTCACAGCATCCGCACATCCGAAGCTCAAGGGAGGGAGGCGGTCACCGCTATGGAAGCGATTTGGTTTGGCTTCACCTTACCCACAAAGTGAGTTTGTAAACACAGCAGACGTGAAGGGTCTGGAAAGCGAGTTGTAAAATGTGGAGCGCAGCACCGTCTCCCTCTGCCTCTCTCTCACTCACAGCCTTCCCGCCCAAACTTGTAGGAACGATGGGGTTCTTTGTCCATTAAAAGTAGAGAAAAGGCAAAACTGGAATTCCCAACTGTATCAGCTCCCCATCACTGTGCCCGCCTCCCACTGTCAGTTCCTGAAGGGAAGACTCCTCAGCACGAGGTCTTACTAGGCCTCTGGAGACCCACCACAGAGTCCTCCCTGGACCTTCGCTTCTGAGAGGCCTGGTAAGGCAGAAGGGGTCCATCTGAAATGTCCAGCTGCCTGTACTCAACTCCTAACCTTCAGAAGCCATGTAACCCTGAGCATGGCCTCACTCTTGAGAGTGCAGCAATGGGGGCTGGTGAGGTGGGAAAGGCATCTGCTGCCAAGCCAGGTGACCCGCTTTGGTCCCCAGCTCCCACAACTCCTCTGACCTCTACATTCATGCTGTATTGTGGGTGCGTGCACGCACACGGATAAATATATAAACGCACATTTTTTAAAGAAAAAAAAGGATGACATTGGTCTGTTGTATATAAACGTGGATGCCACTGTCACCCGCTTTACTAAAGCTTACTGGTTTTAAAGCCAGAAAAGTGTGAGTTTGAAGTGAAACAGCGCCTGTGACCTGAGCAGCAGGGCTGTGACCCAGGCCAGGAACAAAGCTGTGAAAGGCTCACTTCTGCACCCCTGTCAGTGACTCGGCGAGACCAGAGGCAGAGCGCCCGCCGGCAGGAGGTGAATAGCCACTGCAGGCAGAGCTTAGCCACTGGGAGCCCACATACTTCTGGGACAAGTCAAGACACTTGCAGCTGGCCCTGGTATTCAGCTCCTCACCGTGGTGTGTTTGCCTTGGGACACACTCTGGAGCTCCGAGAGTTGCACAGTGCCTGTTCAGGTGGCTGCTGCCTGGCTGCATTCGAAGGTTCTCCATGTTACATCCTGTCAAGTCAGCTGTCAGGGCAGGGTGAGAAAGGAAGAGAAAAAGCTCGTGTGTGTGTGTGTGTGTGTGTGTGTGTGTGTGTGTGTGCTATCAGCTAACATGTTGGTGCTATTTTTCTTCTGACCTTAATCCAGAAATGCTCTTCCCCTGGCTGTGCAACTAGCTGCTCAGGCAGCGCCTGCCCCACTGCTGGGGTTCACATGACCATTTTATGGACCTGGGTTTGCCAAGTGTAGCCAGAGCTTTATGAGAAAGTGTATTTTACAGTTTGCTTTCTTATGGTTATGAGTTATCTACCGGAAGGCCACTTGGTCCTCGGGGGCTGTTAGAAGTAAGACGGCCCAGCTTCATTGTTTGCTGACCAGATATCTGGGCCCTTCCCCCTTGCCTTGCTGGAAGCCCAACCCCCTGTTCCGTCTGAGCTTTCGTGAGCCCTGGGGTGGGACCAAGATCAGGCTTTTTATTCCACCTCAGCAGAATGTAGATTCAGCTGGGATCAATTTGTGAACAGCAAGTGTGGCCCTGAAGCCAAGGTGAGTCCCGGGAGAGGCAGGTGTCTTTATTCCCGGGGAAAGCAGGGTACCTGTACCCTGGTTGTCTGGGGTGAGGGCAACCAGTTGCCCACTGATGAGACTTTGAAGTCCCTTTTTACTTTGTTGTGCTCTTTTTGGGCTTTGCTGTTGGCATGGCTCGGGATTGAACCCAGGACCTTGCACGTGCGGTGCATTGAGTACCACTGGGCCACACCCCAGCTTTGGCAAGTGTTTTCAGCTCCTGCTGACTTTTTCCTAATTAGCCCAGGCTGGGGTTAGCCCACAACATGCTAGCAGATATGAGTGCCATCTAGGAAAAGGCCAAAGGAACCACACTGTAGATGAGGTAGATTTGAGTTTTATATGTGGAAGTAGCTTCCCTGGCTCATTTTAATCAGAGATTGGTATAATGTACGTGACAAACTAGTGGGGAATAAACCCTTATATATTTTTCCAAGGATGAATAGCTTTACTGGGTTTTACTTTTAAATAATAGAATGTACACAGTGACATGGGGTCAGGGTCAGAACTTTACCTGGTGACTTCCAGGTCATGCTTCCCCACAGCATGGTAGGAGTGAGCCGGATCCCTGGGGTGACAGTTGTGTCACCTCTGCCACGGGTAGATTTATATGATGGCTCTCCCAGGTTAAGAAGCTTGTTAGAGCCAGGCAGTGGTGGCACACATATTTCCAGCAGTTGGGTGGCAGAGGCAGGTGGATCTCCGTGAGTTCAAGGCCAGCCTGGTCTACAGAGTGAGTTCCAGGACAGGCAGAGTTACATAGTGAGACCCTGTCTTGAAAAGCAAAGAAGCTAATTAGAGATGCATTTTCTGTGGAATCATTAAGTCTGGAGATGAGACCAGCTGTCCCCACACCCCAGGTCCCAGTGTATGCCATTGAGGACCCCTGCTGCTACACTGTGGACCTCCATCTATGGGAAACAAGCATTCCTTGCAGTCATCCCTGCTTTGATAATCTTTTGGTAATCCTAAAATTTGATGACATCACACACTTGGAAACATCTAAAACATACTTGTGTAAGATAACTAGCTATCCATAACAGTGATGCTCTTATTTCTTGAAGTCTGTTGCTCACATTTCTTACTGTTGCTCTTGAAGTTGTGTTGCAGCCATGTAAAAGAATTCTGTTCTGTATTAAACATGAAGTGACAAGAGCTTTGTCCTGGATTTCTTTCTACTTTTTTTAAATGGAGGCTTGAGTTTAGGTCACCACCCATGCTAGGCAAGTGCTCTCCCAGATTCCAGCCCCTTTGTTCATGATTTCACACTCAAATACAGGTTACCACCCCTTCCCCTCTGCGCTAGTTAATAGAACATATGGAGGCTGGGGGACAGCTCGGTGGAGAAGAGTACTTACTGAGTAGGCATGAGGACCCGCTTCAGTTCTTCAGTACTCACTTAGAACTAAGCTAGTGTGGATGCTCATGTCTGTAGCTTCAGTATTGGGGCTGGGAGGAGACAAGATGATCACTGGAACTTGCTGGCCATCCTAGCTTAAAACCAGTAAGCTCCTAAACCCAGCGAGAGACTGTGTCTAGAGAGTACCTGAGGACCTTCTCTGTCCTCTGCACATGAACACATGGGTACCTTCACACACACACCACACACACTACAATACACACACACTTACAAATTACTAACATAAAGGAGGCTGTTTCCAGTTGATAACTACTGGGTGTCAGGGAAAAATCATTTTTCTTCTATGGAGTGTCAATGTGTTTATCATCTACACTCTCAGGCAGCCTTCATGCCCAGCAGTAGTTGGCCAACACAAATGAACTCCATATTGTTTTGTGTAAATTTTTAAAGATTTCATTTATTTATTTGTTTGTTTATTTACTTATGTATACAGTGTTCTACCTTCATGTATGCCTGCATGCCAGAAGAGGGCACCAGATCTCTTTATAGATGGTTGTGAGCTACCATGTGGTTGCTGGGAATTGAACTCAGGACCTCTGGAAGAGCAGCCAGTGCTCTTAACCTCTGAGCCATCTCTCCTGCCCATTTTGTGTGATTCTTGTTTTGTTTTTGTCTTGCTGTTTTTTTCTTCCTCTTTTTAGTTTTTTGTTTTTGTTTTTTGAGTGAGAGAAAGAACTAAAACTAAAAAGGGGAAGAAAAAAAAAACAGCAAGACAAAAGCAAAACAAGAACCACACAAAATGGGTAAGGAGGAAATGGGGAAGACCTGGGAGTGATTGGAGGAGAGGAAGTATGATAAAAATATATGAAAAATTTAAATAAAACGATTTGAAAATACTGACAGACATCTGCCTGGGACAGAGAAAGCTGGCCACTGCTCGAAGAAGAGAATTGAGAACTGTGGGAGCTAAAGATTAGCGAAGTTGGTAGAGAGCTTCCCTATCAGGCACAAAGCCCAGGGCTTACTCGCTGGTACCACATAAAACCATATTTGGTACCTGCCTGTAATCCCAGCATATAGGAAGGTGGGGCAGGAGGACCAGAATTTCAGTCCTCCTGCCTCAGCTTCCTAAGTAGCTTGGATTAAAGACCTCTGCCCGCAGACTGCATTGAAGCTACTAAGAAATGCACCAGCATGGGCCTGGAGAGGGCTCGGCCATGGGAGCACTTGCTCTTGCAGAGACCCACATGGAGGCTAACACTGCCTATAATTCCATTTTCAGGGCATCTGACCTCTTGGGCACCAGGCATGCACAAGTGTGCATACATGCAGGCATTTGTTTTTTTCTTGACAGGGTTTCTCTGTGTAGCCCTGGCTGTCTCACTCACTTTGTAGACCAGGCTGGCCTCGAACTCACAAAGCTCTGCCTGCCTCTGCCTCTCTTCTGAATCTGGGATTAAAGGCGTGCACCACCATCTCCTGGCACATAAATCTTAAAAAAGAAGTTAACCACAGTCTAATGTCAAAGGCCTATAATTCTCAGCTATTGCAAAGGCTGAGGCAGGAGGATTTAAAGGTAAAGACCAGCCTGAGCCACTTCAGTGAGACCTTACCCTCCCCACACCCGAAAGAAAGAAAGAATTAAAGAAAGAAAGAAGTATGAAATGGTGTAGTGATAAAGATGCTTGCCATTGAGCCTGATAATACAAATCCAATCCAGTGAGCCCTCGTAGTGAAAGGAGAAGGCGACTCCTCCAAGTTGCTGTCTGGCCTTCACATGGGTGCCATGACACGTGTACCCACACATGCATCGGGGAGAGTGGTGGTGGCGTATGCCTTTAATCCCAGCACTTGGGAAGCTGGTCTCTGTGAGTTCAAGGTCAGCCTGATGTACAGAGCTAGTTCCAGGACAGCTCTGTTACACAGTGAAACCCTGTCTCGAAAAAGAGGCTGGTAGATGCCTGGCTACTTATGTGTGAGACCAAGTTCAACCTCCGGTACTGAGAAAAATCCAGTCAAGGATACAGCTGGAACTGAGTCCGCTTGGACAACAGGCTATGCTTTAGGGAAAAGCTGCCAGTCTGAGCTCAGTGATGGCAAACAGGTGCTCACTAGCTGTCTCTAACCTGACACCAGCATGGATGCTGTTCCTCAAGAGCCAGCCACCTTGGTGATTGAAGCAAGGTCTCCAGCTGGCTCTTAGTCAGCCAGCAAACTCCAGGGCTCCTCCCAGCTCTGGGATTCCAAGCATCCAGTCACTGTCACTGGCTTTTTAAAAACCAAGGGTACTGGAATTCAGGACCTCACACTTTACACGGCACTCTGCTGGTGGAGTCACCTCCCAGCTCCTAAAACACGGAATTCCTCAGTGCCCAAGGTAAAGTCTACTGTTAAATCAGGAAATCTGATCTAGGCCAGGCACGGTTGCATAGGCCTGTAATCCCAGCCATTTAGGAGGCTGAGGATCGGATGGAGGTGAGTTCAAGGTCAGCCTGGGATACCCAAAATAATAATTCTGGTCCAGGATCTCAAAAAGCCAGCCTCAGTGGTTGTGCTGGCTAGTCTGTGTCAACTTGACACACAAACTAGAGTTATCTAAAAGGAGGAAAACTTAATTAAGAAAATGCCTCCTTAAGATCCGGTGTGGAGGGGTCAAGACTGGGCTTGTTTAACCCACAGAAACAGCTGACCTGAACAAGGGGGAGCTCTTGGACCCCAGACTGATGGCTGTGTGGAAAGCATGGAACCGATCCAGACTCCCTGAATGTGGGTGTCAGTGAGGAGGCCTAGGTAATCTATGGGGCCTTGGTTAGTAGATCAGTATTTATCCCTGGCATATAAATGGACTTTGGGTGTCTATCCCATATTGAGGGATGCCCTCTCATCCTGGACACATGGGGGAGGGCCTAGGTCCTGCCCCGGATGATATGACAGACTTTGGAGATCCCCTATGGAGGACCTCACCCTCCTTGGCGAGTGGAGTCGGTATGGGGCGATTGGAGGATTGGTGGGGGTGCCAAGGAGGAGAGGAGGGAGAGGGAGCTGTGATTGACATGTGAAGCAAGCTGTTTCTAATTTCTAATTTAAATAAAAGAAGAATGTAAGAGAAAAAAAAAGATCTGGCTGTAGAAGCCAGGCGGTGGTGGTTCATGGCTTTAGTTCCAGTACTCAGGAGGCAGAGACAGGTGGATCTTTGAGAGTTCAAGGCCAGCCTGGTCTATAGAGCAAGTTCCAAGGCAGGTTCCAAAAGCTACAGAGAGACCCTGTCTCAAAAAACAAAAGAAAAAAAAAAGATCTAGCTGTAGGGCATTTTCTTTAATTAGTGATTGATTGAGGAGGGTCCAGCCCATTGTGGGTGGTGCCATCCCTGGGCTGGTGGCCCTGGGTTCTACAAGAAAGCAGGCTGAGCAAGCCATGGTGAACAAGTCAGTAAGCAGCACCCTCCACAGCCTCTGCATCAGCTCCTGCCTCCAGGTTCCTGCCCTGTTTGAGCTCCTGCCCTGACTTCCTTTAGAGATGAACAGCAATGTGGAAGTGTGAACCAAAGCACTCTTTCCTTCCCGGCTTGCCTTTTGGACACAGTGTGTTCAGTGCACCAGTAGAAACACTAAGACACTGGTGTTTGGATCTTGCTTATAAGAAAGCTGAACCCAATTGCTTATAGTAACTCGAGAAAACCTGGAGACTGATGTGTTCAGGAGGGCAATAGTAGCACCAGAACTCCTACTACATCCACATTGCTTCCTTCCAATTTAGCTCCAGAGCTGGGTCGAAGCTGGTGAACTTGGGAATCACAGAACCGAGGCTAGCCCTCCCCAGAATCCTTTGTGGCCCCCAAGGGAAAACGGGTCTCCTGTAGCCCCTGGCATGCTGATTTACCTTATCTCACAGCTCTAGTTGACTCCATTGTGGAGGTGTTGGCATCCCAAAGGGCAGTGCAGGCCTTGCCTTAGTGCCAGAGCCCCAAGGGCAGCCCCACACTGTCACAGAGGTCTGAGCCCAGATTGCAGAAGGACGAGACAAAGGCAGGCCTGGCAGGTGGCTGGGCATCCGCAGAACAGCCCCGGATGCCCTCCAGGACTGGCAGGGCAGCTGCTGAGCCCTGGCTCCAGGGGCACAGAATTTGAGCCAGTCCCAGCAGTCCCCTTCCTCGGGCCCAGCACAGCGACCTGGCCAAACCCACAGCCTTTGCAGGCTGGGCAGAGCTTGCCAAGGAAGGCTGCTGCCATTTCTGAGCAGGTGCTCTGGCTCCTAGGAAAGATGTCACAGAGCATGGTGGGAAGGGACTCGGGGATGGAAGGGCTTTTGAATAGCTTCAGAACGAGCCTGAGGATAGAAGAAATGGCTCGGGCAGGTGCAGGAGGGCAGAGCAGTTGCCAGGTGAGTCTGAAGGACAATTCAGCTGAAGACAACCATAATCTGAAGTCCCCGATTGCATCACTGAGTTAAAGGAGGGAATTGATGCCAGCATTCAGTGTCGTGGTTTGCTCCCAGGATGGAGACTTCTCTAGTCGTTGGAAAGGTTGCCAGGCGGTGGGTAGGTGGGAGAGTGGTCCAGCAAATGCCAGACAGACAGAGGGAGAGGATGAATGAATGTGTGGAACTGGAACCCCATGAAAGGGCGGTCAGCAACCAGAGCTGTTGTCCCGAATGCCGCAGTGGTTAGCCCCCTTCCCGGAGCCACTGCCAAGGGCCTGCAAGTCCAGCCACGTCTGCACATCTGCTAGATGTCTGGCTTCTCGGTGACTTGGGTTTAGAACCAAAGATGTCTTTCTCTAAAGACCGTGCCTGCGTTCATCAGTTCCACCAACTCAATCCACGGTGGTTGAAACTTGGCATTGTCCTGTGGGAGGTACCCTCTGTTTCCCAGCCCTTCCCCCAACACATCCCACTTTCAGTGTTTACCGAGGTCAGAAACACTGCCAGGACTGGGCGGTGGTGGCACATGCCTTTAATCCCAGCACTCGGAGGCAGAGGCAGGAACTCTGTGAGTTCCAGGCCATCCTGGTCTATAGAGTGAGTGCCAGGACAGGCTCCAAAGCCACACAGAAAAATTCTATCTTAAAAAACAAACAACAAACAAGAGAGAGAGAGAGAGAGAGAGAGGGAGGGAGGGAGGGAGGGAGGGAGGGAGGGAGGGAGAGGGAGAGGGAGAAGAAGAAGGAGAAGGAGAAGGAGAAGAAATACTGTCAGGGAATACCATCTCTCTTGCAAGTGGTAGGGGCTGGACCTCATTTTCCCAAAGGACCTCAAAGCTGAAAGTGATACAGCTCCCCTCCCCTATAAAGGCCAGCAGATCAGGCTGGCACCACTGCCTGCCCCTGACCCCCTGATCCCCAGCTAACTTCCAACTGTAAGCCATGTCTCCTGCGGCTCCCCATCTTACTTGAGATCTGGGGACACTGCACACGAGTACCTAGTGCTCATCCCTGCGCACACACACTTGGGCCCAGGGTGTGTGGCCCAGCATTTGCCTTCCCATTTGCCTTGTGTCAGCTTCAGCCAGCACCCCCACCCCAGCTGGCCTGGTGCCTCCTATAAGTACCCTTCCTCAATGACCCTCCCTCACCCCTCGATCTTCATCCAGGGCAGTGTGTGCAAGGTTGTGGTATTCTCAGTCTGGCAGGAGCAGGCCCTCTGGGAACCTCCCTCGATGGCCAGTGGCCTTGAAGGTGCAGCTGACAACTAGCCTGCCCAGACCCTCAGGGACACCTGCCCTTGCTGGACTTGCACCTGACTCTACAATTTTGTCCTAGGATGTGTGTGAGGGTTGCAGCAAAGCTGCTTCTGGCTGTCTGGCAGGGTGACAGTTACCTACTAGCCTCAAGTACACTTTCTACTCTGCAAGGTGAATCCTGTACCCACAGTGCCTAGCGGCGGGAATCCCGTGCTCAATTCCTGCCAGCTCCTGTGCAACCTTAGAGACACACCTTAAGGGTCACACAGTGTCCTCTTCCTGGAAGCAGATACAAGGCTTGATTCGTAATAGTGCCACCTGTGGGCCTCTCCATCCACCCCGCCCTGCAACCCCCTCCAGAGACTGGCACGTCTGAGGCCACGTTTAGTACTTGTTCTGTGGTCCCCAGCATTAGCTCCATCTGTGAGCTTAAGAGACATAGGTGATTCAGGGAAAACCCACATCTTTGCACAGGGTGTGTATCTTTAATGGCCGAGCATCCTTGCTCTCACTTGGCCAAACCCCACATGGGTGCACTGTTTCTCCTCTCGACACCAGTCTCTCTGGCTCTGCCCCATCCACCCTGGCTGTGACCCTTCCCCTGCAGCCTCCCGCCTCCTCCCCATCCAGTGTCCTCTGGCCTTACCTGTGCCCTTCTGCCCCTGCCCTGCCCCAGGCCCTTAGGGCTCACAAAGGTCAAGAGAACTCGGAATCCAGCAACTCCAGTGGAAGCGGCTTGGCTTTGGCTTTGTATTTTAAGAGTTTAAGATTGACACCTGCCCATGCATCTACAGAGTCCTGAGCCCTCGGGCAGGCTCTAAGATGAGCAGGCTGTGCCTAGGTGGGATGGCCACCCCCAGCACACAGTCACCCTGCCTGCTGCCCACCCACGGCTGCCACCAGGGAGGTCTGGACAGGAATTCTGCAGCTGGGTGACAGCCAGACACCAGCTGCAGCCCTGTCTCCACGCTGGACAAGAGAACAAAGACCAAGGCCCCGCCCAGACCAGGCTGCAACAACCACAGGGGCCACCTAGGCAGGGGTGGAGGCAAAGGGCTGGCTGGGCTGGCCTCCACTCCTGCACCCTTAGTACCATGGCCACACTTACTGAAAATGGTCAATAGTCTCATTTTTTCCAACTTTTGAGTTGATATAAAAAATTTCCTAGAAATTCTTAACATTCTGGCTCCCAGAAGCTCTCTGATGTTGACATTCCCAGACACTCCTGACAGGCCAGACTTCCCAGTGCTTGGTTTGGAATGTGCGCTCTTGGCTGTGGGGCTGTGCCAAGACACTGAACCGCCACTGGATCAGGAGCAAAGGTGTAGTCACGTGGAAACCAGGCAAGCCACAGCTGAAAGAGACAGGTGCGAGGCCAATGCGGCCACTTCGTCTCTGGTGTGCTGGGGGCTGGGGAGGTTTTCAGGGAGTGTGACCAGGCAGTGAGGCCAGCTCTCTGGGACCAACTCAAGGATCTAATCAGTCGCTGATCTCTCCCTCCAACAAAGGGACACATCCTGCTGCTACCACTTCTGTCGTGGAAGAAGACCATTATTTTATTTCCCCAGCTCTGCATAAATTAGTGACCTTAACTGAAACAAACAGGCTGTTCGGCTCTCCCTGCAGGTAGTCAATCAAAACAGCTCTGCCATAGCCGGGACAACTAGATGCCACCCTGATTTGTGAACCACATTTTCCACCCACAAATTATCTCTGTGTGGTGCATTTCCAGCCCCTTCTGCCATGTGGGGGTCGGGAGTGTCAGGGAGAGTAACAGCACATCTGGGTCACTGGGGAACAGGTCTCTGTCTCAAGACACGAACCGACAAGCTCTCCACATGATCCAGGAGCTCCTTGATGTGAGCCAAACCCAGCCCAGCAACCTTGGCCCCATTCACCTCCAGGATCTCATCCCCCACCCCAAGCAGCCCCGAGTACAGCTTGGCAGTATCCAGGTCAGCCATGGCCTGCACGTAGAGCCCTGAAAAGGAGAGAGGAGCGGGGATGAGAATCATCCAGGACACTGCAACACACACATGTCATGTGCTCCTCCTCCCTGCCTCCCCGCGCATTCCCTGTAGCCTCTTTTAGAACAGGAAAATCCATGCAAGTGATGCTTGAAGACATTACTCATCTACAGTTCAGTAAGAATAAACTAACCTTTTCTGAGAGCAGCTTTTAGCACAGAGGGGAAGTTGTTTTAAAAAGGAAGACCAATACCTGCTCTATGTCTTCCCTATGTTGCTCAGGACTCAAACAGATGTAGTCGATGGCTAAAAGGACCCATGCTCAGCCCAAAGGCCAAGGTGGGGGACAGTGTCACTAGAGTGTGCCTGAGACCAAATCTGCTTCACAGTACTGTCCAGGACTTACCCTGGCTACAGCCTCACTCACACAGTTCCTCATTTGGGATTTGGGGGCATTAGGGCCAAAGTCCACAAAAAATAAACATTCTGGCAACATTTATGGCTCACTTGTCCCTTTTTCTCGCACCCTTCCATCTCCACCAATCCAAGAGGCTCAGCCTGGCCAGCATGATCATTCCTTGGGTTGTGATACGGATCAAGCCTCTATTGGGGACTTGTGACTGGCTCAGGAAACCCATGTTGTAGGAGAGGCTATGAACACTTGGGCTGACAAGGCTGGCCTCTAGCCACTGTTGCCACAGTGAGGAGTGTCCAGCTGAGAGCCTGATACCTCTTAAGTTCTCTGTCAACTGCCCCCATCTGGCAGGGTACACGGGCAGGTTCCTGTGGAGAAAGCTGGAGCCCACTACCATGTTCTGCTGTGTGAGCATAGCCAGCCTGCTGGAGGACAGTGGGGGACAGCCATAGTGGGTGACTTTCCTGCATCTGACAACACAGTGGGATTTGGGGACAGCTGGGCACACTCCTGACCCCTTCACCAGCTGGCTGAGAAACACAGCAAGTACCCACACGATAGGGGCTCAGCACAGACTGAGCAAGATGTCTGTTTTGGTGCCTCCATCTCTACCTGGAAGCATCCTGTACCTTGGCCCATGGACCAGGAGGAGCCCCTTCATTACAGCTTCTGGGCCCCAGAGAAGCCAGGCTCTGAATATGGACTCTATAACTCCTTCACCAAGGCACCCAAAAGTTTGCAGCCATTTGGCCAATCTGAGCTGCATATGCACTTCCTCTCCTGTCTGGGGTGTGGATATCCCTCTCCGTGCTCCTTGGCCAAGAGGAGTCTTTTCACTGACGCTCAGCCTCTAAATGACCAAGCGTGCACCGTCCTTTAGCAGGTTTTTCCACTGGGGCCCTGCCCTATCCTTGCTCTCCTCTCTCTGACGCTTGAACAGCTAACCTGCTGGGTATACACACTGTCAGCCTGGAGAGAGGAAGCCACCCCCTGCCTCCCCACATGAACCCACAAAAGTGTTTGGAGTGCAGGAGGAGAGGCAGGTGGGGAGGGATGACAAAACCCAAAAGAATGTAGCCAAGCCAGACCAGACACTGACGTCACTCCAGCCATTTTGGGGAGACTTGGGTAGGCTTCCCAGCTGAAATCGTGACTGCAAGGCAGCTCTGGCATTTATGGTCTGCTGGAGACAGCCTTTGTTGAGGATGCTAGATGCCTGTGGTGTAGCCAGTTGGAAGCAGAAGGCAGGGCCTGCTGCTTTCGTGGGTGTGGTGTCAGATGGGACACATGCTGGCACCCTGACTGATGCTTAGCTAGGAGCCAGAGCAGCCGCAGGTCATGGCTCCCCTGAGGTTCAGGAGAAGTGTCCCTAAGCAGCTAGAGAAAGGCCTGTGGTGGGAACTGCCTAGTGTAAGATCTCTGGGTGACATCTGGTGGCTAAATACAACCGTAAGAGCTGGACACCAACTGGACAGAACCATGCAAGTAAGGGAACAGAGACAGCCTGGATGACACTGTTTCCCAAAGGTCAGTTCCCTGTGTGCACGGACATGCGACTCTTCCTAGGCCCAAACTGGGGGAGGCCTACCCCATTCTCTCTCTAAGAAGTTCAGGTCACACTAACTGCAAACCAGCCAGATTAAAGTTCCTGCTATTTTGTCTGTCTCCTGGACTACGGAAATCAGTCTAGTGCCTGTCCTTGTCCCACTGTGGAATCTCAACACAGCTGGTATCACCTCTTGGCTCCTGTTCCTACTCCATGAGGAACCCCAAGTCCCTCAGGGCAGTACAACCTGCAGCCTCTCTGAGCTCAGCTCCAGCCTGACCTCCTCATTTCCCTACAAACACCGTGGCCCTCTAGGACCTCTGTCCTTGAAACTCATCTCCTACCCTAGATGGCTCCTCCCTTTGTCCATCTCCACCCTCGTCATCTCAAGTAGGTCTACATGGCACCTGCCACACCTGCTTTATTTAATTTGCTTCCCGGCGCTCTTCACTGTGGCACATCCATGATACAAAATACATGAAGTCAAGTTGTAGATCTGGCCCAGTGCGTGAGGTCAGAGGTCTGTGTGCTCCCTGCGTGCCTGCGTGCTGTAACCCCACAGTACTTATGAGTAGGCACCTGGAAGACGCTGAGTGATGAACAAGTCAGCCATAAGGACACATGCAGTGCGGCAAACCCCGCAGCAGGAGGGCTTTCTGGGTTAAACAGCCTTGACCTTGGAGACTCAAGGCCAGGACTACCCCTCCTCTGCGGGGACCCAGGAGCACAGCCCGGGATTGCCTTTTCAAAGTCACCCCTCCCTCCCTCCCTCCTCCCTCCTCCCTCCCTCCGCCTGCCCTCCCTCCCAATCTTCCCGACTTAGCATAGCCTGTGCACAGCTTTCAAGGTCTCTTGTACTCAAATGCATTCTGGACCAGAAGCTTTAGCCTGGGCAAGTCAGGTCTCCATGAAGGACTCACGGATGTAGAGGGACCAAGAACTGGTCAGAATTCAGTGACAGTGGGATTGATTAGGACACAACAGGCAACCGGTTGGGCCAGGCGCCTGGAGCCAGACTCCATCTGAACAAAGCCCTCAGGAGTGGTGGGGTGTGGACAGGACTGCAGACAGGCAGGCCCACTCCACATGCCCAGACACCCCAGCAGCTGGAGGACAGGACCGTTGAAATACATCAACCACATCAAAGGAAGAGCCTAGAACTGGCAAGCACAGACAGTTTTCCTTTGCCTCTCTGAAAAAGCCTTGAGGACTCTGATTTCAAGATGTCACAGGACAGCCGGGGGACAGTGCAGTCAAGTCTGCCAGTTCAACCCCCACAGCAGCAGGGGCTCCTGAGATCCAATGCCCAGTAAGAGCTTCCGGAGGGAAGAAGGAAGCCTTCTCCACAGCTCGGCCAAAGCCCAGAAGGAACCGGACCACACCGGGGACTCTGCTGAGGCTCCCAAGGCATACCTGAGTCTCGCTGGCCATTGCCGTAGGCCACACAGAAACCAAAGGTGCCCTCTGGGGGTCGTTGCAGCTGCAGCTGACTCGTGCCATCTGGGAACACCTCCACCACGCGGCCCACAGTGCGGGCCAGGCTAGGGGCACTCACATCTTCCACACTGAGGGCACGACGAGGAAAGGCCTTGGCTGGCCTACAAGGAGACCAAAGACAGTAAGGGGGGGCCAGGCACCCGGGCCAGCTTTGTTGGCCCTAAGATGACCTGTGTCTCTGACCAGGAACACAGCAACTCGACACTAGGGGTTGGGGTTTCTCTGACCTGAGCTAGCAAAATGAGCTCCCTAGGGTGAAGACGGGAGTTTCCACATTTGCTGGCAGCTCCTTGGGGCTAAGTGCCTTGAAGCAAGGACTGTGGTTTCTAACTTTTTTTTTTTCTTCAGGAAGAGATCTCTGAGAGTTAGAGGGAGCTGTAGTTTTACATAGTGTTTTCAAGAGTTAACCCCTTCCCTCCAGCACAAAGTCCTTCCATGGGTAAAAGCAGATAGGCAAGAGGACCTGGGCAGAGGGGTCAGGAGTCAAGGGCCTCTGGGGTTCTCTCCTCTGGGTGTTTAAAAGGGTCTTCGCCTGTGATAGAGAAAATCTGAGCATTGATTATAGAATGTCATAGGACAGCCAAGGGAAAGAGGCGTCGAGCTTTCCAGCACCACCCTCCAGCAAACCTACACATCTCAGGGCTCACCAGCACAAGGCAAGGGCGCAGAGGTCACAGCCTCGCTTCCTCTTAAGGGGACAGACTGGCTCACTGCTGTGGTGCTAAGCTCCATTGACCACTCTGAGTTTGTCCTTCGGATTCTCGTGCCAAGCTTACCTGCTCGGTGAACTTGTGTCCTCTGACCCCTCTACCAAGTAGAGGCTGGACCGGTCTCCCTTGCCTCCTAGCAGAGCATGGAGGTTCTGAAAGGAAGTTGCTTTCCGATGCTGATAAGAGGGCGACACCTAGTGGGCAAGATCCAATATTGCAGGTGAGAAAAGCAGCCTGGGAAAGGGTCCCAGCAGAGAATTTGCTGACCTGAAGTAAACCTGAAGTCACTCCAAGAAAGCAATGGTACAAGCTTTGGCCAGCACATCTGTCTGGATGACTTGCAAGAGTCAGCAGAGCCTGCTCCAAGAGATGGGACTGCACAGGCATCCAAAGCAATAACAACTTAGCATTATGCTAGCTCTTATCTCTCTATGAAAGTCTACCCAGCACTCAGAGGCTGTGGCAGGGGGAACCAAGTCATGTACAAAACCCTGTCCAAAGGGGAGGGGCTGGGGTGTGGCTCACTGGTAGCATACATGATGTGACACACCTCAAGAATGCTTCCAGCTTGGAGTGGGCATGAGTGTGGTTACCTGATAGCTCCAGGAGCTTGTAACAAGTTCCTAGAGCAGAGATGTTTTGGTCCAGAAGGAATGGGAACAGGGGAGGAGCTGACACTTGAGTGAGGCTGAGAGCAAGAGCTCTCCAGCTGAAAAGAGGGGCGCAGGCACCCGGGCCAAAGGGAAAAAAGACAGTATGAGAGAAGGCATGGGGACATGGGAGAGGGCATGGGGACATGGAGAGGGCGTGGAGACATGGGAGAGGGCATGGGGACATGGGAGAGGGCATGGGGACATGACAGAGGGCATGGGGACATGGGAGAGGGCATGGGGACATGACAGAGGGCATGGGGACATGACAGAGGGCATGGGGACATGGGAGAGGGCATGGGGACATGGGAGAGGGCATGGGGACATGACAGAGGGCATGGGGACATGGGAGAGGGCATGGGGACATGGGAGAGGGCATGGGGACATGGGAGAGGGCATGGGGACATGGGAGAGGGCATGGGGACATGACAGAGGGCATGGGGACATGACAGAGGGCATGGGGACATGACAGAGGGCATGGGGACATGACAGAGGGCATGACTGTAGAAAGGTGAAAGGCTCTATCCAGTGGAGGCCAAGAGTGTTCTGGAAGTGGTGAGAAATAAAAGCAGATCCTCTCACAGCACTACGTGGTCTCAATTTACCCTAAACGTGATAAATGACCAAAATGGATACATTCTTGGCAAGAGACAGTTGATTTGGCCAGGTTCATGCATCCTCAGAAAATCACCATGGAAGCCACATGAAGAGAGACCAGACGACCAGACAGACAGGCCAGTCAAGCCTTGCTGTGACAATACAGATGGAAATTAATTGTGTTTGGGGGAATGGAGAGATGCCTCGATGGTTAAGAGCACTGACTTCTCTTCCAGCAGACCCAGAGTCAATCTCCAGCACCCACATGGCGGCTCATAACTGTTTATAGCCCTAGTCCTCAGGGATCCAATGCCCTCTTCTGGCTTCTGTAGGCACACATGGTGCACAGACATACATGCAGGTAAAACACATACACAGAAAACAAATCTTTTTTTTAAAGAAAAAAAGAAGAAATTGCATTTGGATTAAAAGAGTCACTGTAGCCAAGGGGATGGATAAAGAAATCAGGCCATGAACTCTCCAGGAAGTCGAGGGATAAAGGACCCGTAGGTGGGCAGAAGGGAACTAAGGGGCACTGCACACACAGAGAGCACAGGGAACTAAGGGGCACTGCACACACAGAGAGCACAGGGAACTAAGGGGCACTGCACACACAGAGAGCACAGGGAACTAAGGGGCACTGCACACACAGAGAGCACAGGGAACTAAGGGGCACTGCACACACAGAGAGCACAGGGAACTAAGGGGCACTGCACACACAGAGAGCACAGGGAACTAAGGGGCACTGCACACACAGAGAGCACAGGGAACTAAGGGGCACTGCACACACAGAGAGCACAGGGAACTAAGGGGCACTGCACACACAGAGAGCACAGGGAACTAAGGGGCACTGCACACACAGAGAGCACAGGGAACTAAGGGGCACTGCACACACAGAGAGCACAGGGAACTAAGGGGCACTGCACACACAGAGAGCACAGGGAACTAAGGGGCACTGCACACACAGAGAGCACAGGGAACTAAGGGGCACTGCACACACAGAGAGCACAGGGAACTAAGGGGCACTGCACACACAGAGAGCACAGGGAACTAAGGGGCACTGCACACACAGAGAGCACAGGGAACTAAGGGGCACTGCACACACAGAGAGCACAGGTCCTATGGCTCGGCTGTGAGGACACCAGCAGGTCTCCACTTCGGTGCCGTGGGCTCCAGGCAAGGACCCTTAACACTGCCTGTCCTTCCACCCTTCATTCCAATAGGCTGCAGTACTGTCCAGGGCCCTGGGGACTTACCAGATGCAGCATCTGTAACGACGGAGCTCTCTTCACTTTGGAGGCACTGGTTTGGGGGGCCAGTGCTGAGGGCTGCAGCTGTTCCACACTGTAGCTTCGGGATGTGCCAAGTCTGGGCCGGGGGGTGTGGCCCAGGGCTGAGAGGAGTTTTTTGAGCCCCAGGGTGGAGGTGATACTACTCCTCCTCTTCTTGTTCCCATCAGAATGGGCAGCAGAGGGTGGCCTGTGCCCTGCACTGGCCTCAGGTGATACTCTGAAACACAAGGGGGCAAAATGTGGTTGGGGATGGCTGAGAGGCAGGCAAGAACTGGCTGCATCCTGCATCCTAGGGCCCCACATGGACCAGTGCTGATGTCCCCAGAGAGGAACTATCAGCAAGGGGAGCCATGTAGACTCTGCTAGGTGCTGAGTGAAAGCAACTGCTGGAGAGAACAGTCCAGGATAGCCCCTGCCGTGGCACACAGCCATGAGTCCAGGATAGCCCCTGCCATGGCACACAGCCATGAGTCCAGGATAGCCCCTGCCGTGGCACACAGCTATGAGTCTAGGATAGCCCCAGCCACAGCATACAGCTATGAGTCCAGGATAGCCCCAGCCATGGCACACAGCCTTGAGTCCAGGATAGCCCAGCCATGGCACACAGCTATGAGTCCAGGATAGCCCCACACAGTCATGAGTTCAGGATAGCCCCTGCCACAGCATACAGCCATGGGCTCATCATCCATTCACTCCACCCCTTGGGGATGTCTGTCTCATGGGCTTCCTATCTGTCTGCCCTCAGCTAAGGGTGTATAGAACCTTATCAACAACAGACTGACACATGAGGGAGAAAAGCCATTCACAGTGGGGTGGGGGGTGAATCAGAGTGTGACAGGCACTTGTTTTAAACAGTTTCCAGGGACGGTCTCTTTGGGAAGATACCAAGGGCCAATGACAGGCAGGAGTCCCGACATTAATCCTGAAGGTGAGAGCCGCAGGCACACAGACAGCTGGGGTGTCTGCCAGAGCAGAAACAAGTCAGATGTGTTCAGCAACAGCAGCCAGGTAGTGAGAAGAGCAGGAAGAGGTGTGACATGAGGCCAGGCTGGCAAGCCCATCACACTGCCAAGTGTTGTCAGCCCCAGGAAGAGAAGGAGAAGAGAAACTACTGTGGGCCTTTAAGTAGGACAATGATTCCATTTAATTGGGCTTTTTAAAAAAAATATTCCCTCGTGCAGCTAAGAAGTGAGGCAGCTCAGAGCAGATGGCAGAAAAGGGCTGGGCTGGAGAGGGCTGCCGGAGGATGGGAGCGGGAAGCAGAGGGAGAACACGCAGGGTCTAAGCGCCGTGTGGATGGCGGCACGGCTGCTAGGAACAGGGCGTGGCGAAAGCAACTGTTGAGTTTTTCTTGAGGGGACAGCTACATGCCTGCGACAGATGTCCAGGAGAAACTGGCCAGACAGACCTTGCATTCGGGCAAACACCCAGGCCTGGCTGGGTCACAGGGAGGCTGTGTGCTGTGGTGTGGAAGTAAGTACCAGGTTCATCAAGGCTTTGAACTCGGCCCAAGGAGGTCCCAAGCAAGGCCTCACGGGTCCAACCGCAGATGAAGCAAAGGAGGGAAACAGTTTGCATCCTAGAATCACCCTAAGGCCTGTGGCTCTCAGCTGCAGCATTGACAGCTCGGTCTCAAGGGTGGGGTCTCAGTGGCTCTATGAGGTACATCAGGTAAAAAGATCTGGGAAAGGTAGGGCTGGAAGTAGATAAAGTGCTTAGCACACAAACACGAGGACCCCAGTTTAAATCCCAGCACCCCAGGCACATGTAGGAGCATATTCGTAACCCCAGTTCTGGGGAAGGAGAGATAAGTGGATCCCTGGAGTTCAAAACACAAGGTGCAGAGCAGTTAAGTGTTACTCTGTCAATATCTGGCCTGTACACACACTCACATCCATGTGTCCCCAGACTCATGTGCATATACCCACATGAACACATATGTACAACACACACACACACACACACACACACACACAGAGAGAAAGAGGGGTGTAAAAAGGGTGGTGAAGGTGAGTTAGGGTTCCAGGACATAGTTTAGGAACCCCTCAAGGTTTGGGAGAGAAATGTTAGCAGTGTTACCCCTCCAGGTGGTAGTTCCCCATCCAACATGCTCATTGTAGTAAGGGTTCGTTTTTGCCACTCACCCAGCAGGCATGCGGCCTCCAGAGCTGGATTCTGTCCTGTGTAGATCTCCTCCCAGCTCCAGGCTGCTGCCGGGCTCCTCTGAGGGGAGGGAGAGGGTGATGGCTGTAGAATTGACAGTGGCGGCATCTGCTGACTGGAAAGAGTCCTGGGGTGTTCCTGTAACAGCACAGCACCCCACCTCTGCTACACGGACCATCCCTAGGTCTCAGGCAGAAGGCCCATTCCCCAGGCTTAGGGACAGGAGACACTGGGGAAAGGTGGGAGCCCCAGGAGGTAGTCAGTGAAGGTGGCCAGGGCCCATCCTTGAGCATCCTCTAAACTGGAAACTGAGGACAAGGGTGGGGTCTTATGGACTTACTGCAACCCTATCACCCAGCAGAGCACCTGGTACACGGTGAGCGACTAATAAGTATTTGTTAAGTGACAAGTCATTTGTTAAATATCATGCCCCGTCTATGTCAAGGGACACAATCAAAAGCAGGGGAAACAAATCTAAAGTTGTCACAGCTTTTACAACAGCTTCCATCTTGGGAGCACTGTATGCATTTGGTGATGCTGAGCCCTTCATAGACTTGACCTTGGGGTCATGGCACAGGCTGTATTTTAACCCTTACTTCCTGGATAAGAAAACATGAGCATGGAGAGAGGAAGTGATCCTCAGGGTCCTGTCACTAACAAGAAAATCCTTGCCATGCTTCCAAGGAGGTAGATCTCAGAGGCCCTGCAGGAAGTGGCTAGGTGCAAGCCAGCCACAGACACGTGTGGCCTCGGGAAGCTTTAAGGGCAGGGACCCTGCTTATGCCATTTTCTTATACATTCCCCACAGTGCCCAGGACAGGTCCAAGTGTGTACCAGGTGCCAACAGTGAATGGAAGTGTGCAAGGCAGAAGAGAAAGATGGCGGGAGAGGATGGTGATTATAGAATAGTTAGTTTCTAAGCAACAGCGGATTACGGGGCTGCTGACTTCTTCACAGTTTACAGGAGTCAAATTCCCACAAAGCCTGGCCTCCAGCAGTTGAGGACAGGAGCTTCCCTACATACCTCAGTCTTCCCAGCAACAAGAGGGTACCATTCCCACCTTGCCCACGGTCCAAGCCCTGGCTCCCCATCCCGCAAGCACAGAAAACTAGCTAACTTGCTCCATGCTAATGCTGAATCCTGAATCTGGCCCACATTGCGTCCCCCATCTCCCTGGCACCTGCTGCTGATGTGAGGGACCCACAGGGATGCTGGGAGTGGTGTGTGGTCTTACTATACGGCGGTCACGATGGAGAGCAGATGAGTGCCACAGACCAGGGCTGAACAAGGACCGCAATCCTTACCATCTCCGTCACTCTCCAGGGGCAGTCCAGGCTCCTGGCAAAGGTGGTCCCTCTCAGCTCTACTCTTGTGGGCAGCTGCTTCCCAGGGCTCCTGTAGCCCCAGAGGGACACTGCTGCTGTAGTTGTTGGTGGGCAGGCCCAGCAGGGAATGCTTGACATGGGGGCTGTAGGGCTGGGTCTGGGGTGGTATGAGAACCGAAGTTCTTGGAGGGGACAGAGGCAGGGGGATGTCCAAATGCTCCACCAGATGTTCCTGCCTGTTCCAGGCTGGCTTCTTTGGAGGCATCGGGCAGAGGGATTTCCTTGAGGCGGGAGGGGTTGGCACCCAGCCTTCAAGGGAGAGGGGCAGAGTTGGCTGCAGGGCTGGGTGAGGTGCAGAGAACTCTTCATGGCTCTGTTGGAGGGCAGAAGTGCATACAGTTTCCAGAGACCCCTGGATTTCAGCACCTTTGTCTGGTTGGCCTGACCCTGACGAACCAAGCTTCTTGGAAAACGACACAGCATAATTTGTCCTGCATGGAGTCCAGGAGTCCTCAGGGTAGGCACAGTGATTTCCTAACCGTGCTCCAGGCTGCCCCTGGGACCAAGGCCTCTTAGGTTCCAAGACAGATTTAGGCACAGCATCTTCCTGTACAAACAAAGTTCCCTGGGGTGTGTGTCCTGTGGCTCCTTTTACCTCCCCTCCTACAACCACATCACCAACCTCAGGAAGGTGAGGCCAGGCCTGAAGGCCCCAGGGCAGCTCCACCTCAGCCTTTCTGGAGCACATGGGGCCTTCCCGAGGCTTAGAGCCATGCTGTTGCGGATGGGGGCTGCTGCCTTGGGTCTGCCCACCTGCCCTGCTGGGCTGAGAGGTCCTGGCATCCTTACTGTCTGTCCAGCTGTCTGTACTGTTGGCGCTGTCTAAGGCAGAGTTCCCCTCCTCAGGGGGTGTGGTAACAGTGTCTGTGATGTGTGCTTCCCGGATCCATTCTGTGTGGAGCCCTGGGAATGGTGAGTTCAAGCCGTGAGGATTACAGGGCCCCAGCAGCGACGTCTCTGACTCACAGTCTATCTGAAGATCCTGGAGGGCCCTCAGGTCAGGGGCTGCTCTCCCCTCAGCAGGACAACGCTCCTCAAGACAACTACCACAGGCTGGACACTTCCTCTCATTGTCCCATGGAGACGGTGATGCAGGGAAGTCATTGTGGTCCAGGGAGCCCACAGGCCTGTGGCGTGAGTTGTTCCCCGTGTTACGGTTAATGTAGTTGGTTAGGTCAGGCTTGGAGCGCAGAGGTCCTTGGCCCACAGCATGTAGCACTGTGCTTAACACCTGACGCTGGCGCTGCTGTAGCCGGTCTAGGTACCGGAACTCAGCCTCATGGGCAGACTCATCTTCAAAACGGACATGGGACAGGGGCATTCCCTGCTTGGGCCACTGCCCATCACCAGACTCCATACTAGAGGAGTCACTCCGGTCCCCATTCTGGAGGCTCTCTCTGGAGGCAGAGGCTCTCCTGACATCCAGAACTGGGCTTCTTTGGCCATTTCTAGTGAGGAGACGGAGAGAGGTCACAGGCAAGAAGGTGACGAGGAAGGGAAGCATTGCCCTGGATGTGCTCTGGCCCAGGCCTCACCCACAAGGTCACTCCCAGTCAAGCTCCTGGGAAGTCATACAGCAAACCCTAGGCCCATCCTGCACATCCTGTAGGGTGTGCACATCCCAAGTACGTCCCAGTACGCCCTGCTCAGCAAAATGGGTACAACTTCCTTTCCTTTTAACTTGCTTTCTGTTGCTGGGCTCAGTATGAGTTAACAAGAAAAGCTACTAAACTAGGAAAGGTACAGAGGAAGACAGCAGAGCTTATATGTGCACTCCGTGTGTGTGCACATGTGTGTGTGTGTGCACATGTGTGTGTGCACTCAGTGTGTGTGCACATGTGTGTGTGCACTCAGTGTGTGTGTACACTCTGTGTGTGCACATGTGTGTGTGCACTCAGTGTGTGTGCACATGTGTGTGTGTGCACTCAGTGTGTGTGTACACTCTGTGTGAGCACATGTGTGTGTTTAGGTGACCTGACTTGGCAGTGAGTGAGAAGTTGCAGAAACATGTATCGTCAGTCATGTGTGAGTGGGCTCAACATCTAGGGAGTCTAATCATGTAATAAAAATATTTGAAAATAAACCCTGTATCTATACTGAACATGTAGGGACCTCATTCTTCTCGTCATACCCTAAACATGACAACATAGCAACCATTGCAAAGTACTTCCATCATGTTAAAGGTTTAGGGTAATCTGAGATGGCTTAATGTACACAGAAGTATGCTTGATCATTCATGGGTTCTGGTACCCAAGGGAGTGGGTCCTAGAACCAGCCCCCTGTGAACACCGAAGAGCAGTTCTACGTGCTGCAAAGTCATCATGGGTATTCTGTGAGGCTGGAGTTCTGGGACTCCAGCATTCTTGAGCTGACATCCCCACTCAGAATTCCTCAGGCCTTGCTGGGATGGACTGCAGATAAGCAGCCCCTGGTGCCTTCCTTAGACAGCCCCAAAGCCGCTGTTATCCATCCTACCTCCACACTCACATCTGTCTTCAGATGTGCATGGCTGTGCTGGAGAATCTTCCTATCTTTTATTAGCTTTGGCTCTGGAAAACACTGGCTGGGAGCCAAGTCCTGCTCTGATCCACACAGTCTCATCACAGGACCAGCTAACAGCTATGCAAACGGGCCCAGGTCCAAGGCCCATCCTTTCTCCTTCTCCCTCTGGGGCCTTCCCCACCGATCTGCGGGCTGTCTTTGGGAGTGACCGGGCTTCTCCCACTCATCATTTTATCTCACAGAGAAGTGGCCTCAGCCTGTTTTCTTCGCACCTCCTGACTTGGTTCCTCGTGGAGTAAAGCTGGCATCACATCCCGTTACCCAACAAAGGGCATAAGTGATAGTCTTTGGGGTAAGCATACGGGGCCACCACCTCCTCCCTCTCCAGCTCTGACTCCCACCCATTGGACGGTGGAACTTGGAAGGTCACAAAGTCCCACGCATAACTACTGCTGGGATAGTTAAACATGTACCGTTCTCGATGCCACACTCACATCTGTCTCTTTGAGCATGTGCCTCCTCTGTTTAATAAGCTCCAATTTGCTTCACGAAGACTTATCCTAAAATGCTTTTCTACAGAGTTAGTCAAGAGCTTGGCTGTACCAGAGTGGAGATCTCTGAGAAGTCCTCAGATTGCAGAGGGTAGCATCTCCCATGGCTGGTAACATGGTGGTTAATCTAATGTCCACGTGGTAGGCCCAGGACCTAGGTCAAACCTTATTCAGGATGTTACCACCAGAGGCTTATTTTTTAAAGACAAAATTAACATTTAAGCTGACAGATTTTGAACAAAGTAGATTACCTTCCACCAATGTGGTGGGTTTCATCCTGTCAGTTAAAGGCCTGAGGAAAACCAAGACTGACCTCCCTGAAGCAAGAAGGCATTCTGTCTACAGGCTGTCTTTGGTTGAACTGGCTGGCCTAGCCTTCAGGTTCAGGATTTACCAGGCTTCTACCAGTTTGCAAGCCAACTCCTTACAGTAACCCTCTCCATCTACAGACGCACCCTATTGGTTGTGCTTCCCTGGAGAACTCGAATAAATAAAACTATCCTTCTATGATACGTCCCTGCGCTGAACACCCGGACCACTTTCTTACTGTCCCTGAGGGTTAGGGTTGGAAGGAGCCACTGAGCAACAGCAAACACGTGCTACCTCATCAGGCAGAAGTTCTAACTCCAGCACAGCGGTGGGACAGGCAGGCAGCCGGGTCTGCACTGCACAAGTGTGGTTCCCGGGAGACTCTGTGCCTGGCTTCGGGACACCCTCCCACCTCATGGGCTCCAGCGTCAGTGCCCTGCTCTCTTGGAAAGAAGTGGGGTGTGAGTCCTGGTAAGGGAAATATTAATCTATTCTCAGGGCAGCAGTTGTGGTTTGTGTCACATGAGCTACAGCAGTGGCTTTAAGTTTACACACAGATGGTGAACAGCCATCTTAAAATTCACTCCAAAGCGAGAAACACTATTTCTATTTTAAAAGAAAAACAAAAGCTGGGTATGGTGATACATATCCCCAATCCTAGCACTCAAGAGGCTGAGGCAGGAGGATTCTGAGTTCAAGGAAGTCTAGACTACAGAGTGAGATCCCATCAAAAAAAAACTTGATGGATATGGTGGTGTACACTTTTAATTCCAGCACTCCAAGGTGGGGGGAGAGCAGAGACAGATGTATGTTTATGAATTCAAAACCATCCTAGTCTACAAAGTGAGTTCTAGGCCAGCTAGGACCACACAATGAGACCCTGTCTCAAAAACAAAACAAAACAAAATCCCACAAAACCAAATTCATCGTCATAATAAGTAGAATAAAATAGAGAAGAGCTAATCGTGTAAGAGTCTTCAATGCAATTATTCAGACCGCAAGGCTCCAGGCAGCAACACAGACGACAGCACGGGGAAGCAGGCGCCTAGGCACATGTGCACACGAGGCAGCTAAGCCAAAGGCAAATCCCAGAGCTTCCTTGCCTCCCAAGGTGAGGCCCCTCAAGGACAGGATTCCAGCCAAGCTCAGAGCTTCTGCTGTTGCCCTGAAGTTGCATAGGCTTTGGGGAGGAGAGTCCCTTTCCACAGCCTCACTTTCTGACAATGCTATCCAACTGATGTGATGTTTGCAAGCTCTGCAGCCTCACACAGAACGAATCTTCCCAGGGTGCAGCCTGCTGACATGTCCTATGCCTTTGCGATTATGAATACCAACCCGAGTTTGCCTATTCCAAGTGGCAACAGCATCTGCTTCCAGGAGCTGCTCAATTTTATATGTGGATTGACTTCCAGACAACACACCTGTGCCCACCTCTTCCTGCCTGGGCAAGGCCTGCATGCAGGCTCACCTGGCTGCCTTTAGGGAGGCCTAGGCTAAAGAGGGCCTTCTGCAGATTGCTCAGCCTGCCCCCTGCTCCTTGTGGCTGGGGAGGATCTCCTGCTTCCAGCCGAGGCCTGGGGCCAGCATGGCATCACCGTGTTAGCTCTGCCTGCCCTCCAGGGTGATCTGCTGGAGCGTAACCTTTCGAAGCAGCTGCAGCAAGCCATCTGGTGTGGAGTTTTCAGCTCTGCCCTCTGAGGATTCACCAGCGCTGCCAAGTCATAGAAATTCTTTCCTGGACACAGCAGCTGCTGAAGTAGGTCACCTTGCATTCTTATAGCATTTTTATGGCCAAGGCAGGAGAAACCTGCTTTACAGTAGCTACTGATGTTAAGACTAGGTGTAACGAACCAGAGAAGCAGTGTCAAAGCACGCGCACGTCTGTTTTGCAGAGTCCTGTCTATGTGTGTCTCACCACTCCGATGCAATTCCTACAGAAAACAGGGCAGTCTAAGGCAGCTCTCTGCACATGTGGGGAACAGCTAGGATACCTCAAAGAAGCCGTGTCGCTCCAGCGAGTACTCTGTAGTACAAGTGGACATGAGTGATCTGATTGGCACATTTTACTAGGGTTTGGGGGTCTCGTGTGCCACTGTCCTAAGAGTCACAGTGACATTGAACAGAGAGGCCTCTGCTTGCGATGGAGTCATGGCAGTAGTTCTTTGAATGGCCTGGGCCTTCAGCGAACAGACACAGTATCCCCCATCAAAGAGCACATGGCTCACTTTTACTATGAGTTCTCCATTCCATGTGTAAGCAGCTCTTTAAGGCGCACCACAAGAAGAACAAGAACAATCCTGGGGACAGGCTTGGGCAGTCACATAATGACAGGCCAGTCCTCCCCACCCTGGCTGCACTCACTGTTGCAGCTCCAGCACGATGGACTCACCAGAGCACCCCCTCCATCTGACTTTACTCTTTGGCTAGGGGCCCACGCGCACACTAATGTAACCCTAACCCTGTTTAGCCTCCCTGTTTACCCGTCTCTGCGGTCTCATACCAGTGCAGGGACTCATGAGCTGTCATTCAGTAGACCTGGAGTTCCTCCATGGCCGACCTCCTTGCGGTCTCTGCCTTCATGCTACACGTGACAGATTTCTCTCTTCCACGCTGACTGTGCTTCCTCTCACAGCTCCCATCCGTTAGAATAGTGTCCCCTCCTCCCTGCATCTGCCCCGTGAACAATTACAGCTCCTGGAAGCCCCATCTGGGAAACCTCATCCTTCTTGCGTGAACCTCTCCTGTCCCTTCCAGGTGGAGCTCTGCACATACGCGTTCCCTCTCCTCCACTATAACCCACAGAACTGATTAGGTGTTTGGCTGCCTCTTTCCCTGGAGACTGTGGTCGCTATGGCCCCAGAGAGCTCAGGGCACGTACTTCATTTATCTTTATGTCTCAGCTTATGACACTGTGGGTAATGGTGTGGTGACTGACCAAATGATCGTAACAAGTGCCTGACACAGGAAACATGTGCATAAGTGCACACACACACAGACAGACAGAGACACAGAGAGACAGAGGGAGACAGAGGGGGGGAGAGAGAGGAGAACAAAGCATTTTGGCTGTATTTGAGCTAGCTGTGCTATTGACCCTTCCCTGCCACAAGCCCTCCCAGGTCAGCTTGGCGTAGGCCCCACTCACCGACTGCCCTGAGCAACGGTGGGCATAATGTGATGGCTGGCTCGGAGCGGTTGGGTCCTGGCCTTCATGCGAGCACGCTGTATCAGATTCTTGGTTCCCTCATACCTGGCACTCAGCAGAGGCTCCAGCTTGGGAACAAAGGTCCTGCAGGGTAGCACAGGCCAGGATGGACAGTGTGGGGATTAAAAGAAAATAACACGGCTTAGGAGGCTTTAATGGTATCAAGCCCAGCCCTGCCAGGAAAAGCCTGGTCTACACAGCCTTCCCCTTCTAACTCTCACACAGGGCTCCCTCCTCCCCACCCACCCCAACCCCTGAGGCCTGGAAAACACCCTGAGCTCAGACAGGAGCTGCGGAGACAACCTGACCTTGGACATCTGCTGGGAGGGGCTGGAAAAGGGACAGGGGTGTCTGGCTATCCTATTGTTCCTCCCTGGGCAGAAGCAGGAGCTTTTGGAGAGAGGAAAAGGGAAGGTCCCAGGGTTATGGATCTGGGCCCAGACAGATGGTCTTTGCATGCATGGCCTCCCTGTCTCCTTCTGTCTCTCAACGCCCACACATGCACCCACCAGAGCCCACGCAGGACTGTCCCCAGCTCCCACCACAGACACAGAGCCAAGGCGCTGCCTGTCACAGTCTCGGTCCTTCGGGGGATAACGTTTTATAAATCCTGGTGTTCTCTTGTCACAGTCTCAATCCAGACCTGTCAGGAGTCAACTCAGGGCTCACAGACTCAGGGCAGAGGGAGACTAAGCTGGATTCAAAGCGGCCAGCACATGGCTCCATCTTCACAACAATAAGGGTCCCCTGCTGGCAAACCACCAACCAGATGTGCTGCCTCCCTGGCCAGTCCAGAGCGGCAGGAATGACAGACACCTCCTCCCAAAGCTGTCTTCCAGACAGTGACACACCACCTGTTCTGGGTTATGGAAGTAAGGACAGCCCACACTTCCCTATGACAGGATGTCTTTCTCTGCACAGTTTGCTTCTCACAGCTAGGCTGGACAAGGGCAGGTGTTCCCGAGCTTGACAGATAAGGGTGTCTGGACTTGAGAGGAATATTGACACACTGCTCAAGGTCGAGCATCAATTGAGAGCCGAGCAGAGTGGTGCAGAGGACAGCCAGCCCCAGTCTCTAGCCTCATTCCACATCCTGTCCTGCGGCTGAGGTCAGACGCTGTCACATATGCTTGGCTCTATGCACAGGGAGGGCCACCACAAAGAGAATTCAGCCAAAGGCTCAGCAGGGCTTAGATCTCACACCTGGGGTACCTTAACTCCCTCCATATGCTCCATGGGGGCAAGGGCCTCACCCTGACCTCAGGAAGTACTAGGGACTCTCATGACAGGAGTGGACAAAGGCCTCCGGGACAAGGGCTCCTTGGGACACCCTTGAACTGGCTTTGAGCAGATGATGGCTTTTTGTTTCCTTCTTGTCATGTGCTCTCAACACTGCTTTGGGCCGGGGGGGGGAACGGCTGCTCTCATAAAGGGACCATCTGTGCCATGAGCTCTGGCAGGGCGAGGCCGGGTTTGGAAAGAGGGATTCATCAGAATGATGAAAAAAAAAAAGTACTTCTCCAGGCCTGCTGCCCCATGAGGCCTCATTGGCAGGAGAGGCTCCCCTGACATGGCTTCCAGAGCAGGCAGCTCCCCAAACCGCAGCTGAGAGCAGCTGTGCTCCCGGGGGCTCCAGTTCCAACAGCAGAGATAATGAGGATACCAGGCCCAGAGGTTCTCTTGCAGCCGCAGGCCTCTGGCTGCCAGCCTACATGCTCACAGCCTTCCGGTGACAGCTGTGCTTCTGCGACTGTCGGAGGGCATTTGTCACAAGGCCTGGTGGGCAGGCACGAGAGCCCCTCGGCAGCTGGCCGGATGCTGCCGCGATCAGCCTTGCCCCCAGGTTTCTACGCCATTTCCAGCTTTGCTGTTTCCCTTTTGGAACAGCTGTCCACCTCCCTCCCCGCTTCGTCAACTGCCCTGCTTCAGTCTGGCAGACAAAGCTAGTTTCTCCACTGATTAGAAAGGCAGGCTTTCTGGCTGCCTGGAGGAATCTATGCAGCAACACAGCAGGCAGGGAGGAGAGTGGCAGCCACCTTCACAGACTGCAGCCAAGGTCGGCAAAGCAAGGACGCCACGGTGCACCCTGGAGATGGAGGCTCTGCCAGCTTAGAAGAGTGGGTGGTCTTTCTCTCCCAGGGGGAGGAGCAAGCAGGTACCACACACACCAAGCAGGTATCACCACACCAGAGGTGACCCTCCATTCCAGAAAGATAGGCTCAAGCTTCTAACTGAGAAAGACTCTATTCTCATTTGATCCTGGACCAGAGAGGCACACAGCCCCAGAGCCAACCCTTCTTATCATGAATTAAAACCCACAATCCCAGTTCTTCCAATTCCCTTTGGAAATTTCCTGGCAAAGTCAAGCAGTGTGCAGCCAGGCATAGGCAATACTAGCTACAAACAAACAGCATTTATCACCACCTTGAAGCCTGAGTCTCTGAAGCCCATTAGCTCTGTGGGCATAGGAATACGGCGGCTGAGTGCTTTTCCTGCAGGGTCTTTATAAAGGAGAGGGAGGGGGTTCACACTGCTACCCTGAGTCTGGGGCTTGGACCAGGCAGGCTATGGTGGGGCATTTGGACCACAGGGCTGGCTCTTGTAGAGTGCTCATCCAAAGAACTACTTCTTCGGAAAGTTAGAGGCCCACAGGTGCGTGTGTGTTCCTGCCCTTGCCTCTAACCCTCATACCACCTGCATCCTGAGGACAAAGGGAGCCTGTGATCCTTGCCCTCTGCTCCAGGCCAGGTTCTTGGAGTGGGGACAAGTTAGGCCGTTTAGCACCTCTCCAGCTAGGTAGGTCAGGAGAGCCCTATCTCTCTCACAGGCAGGAAAGCCAAGGGGGAGAGAGAGATGTTGAACTTCTGCAAATCTGCAGTTAACCCCTTCATCTCAGGAACATGAAGCAGGAAATAAGGAATAAACTCCAGGATGCAAACGGCAGAGGGAAAGCATTGAGCATGCAAAGCCTGTTTAAAGCCTTCGCTTAGCCTTGCTCCATTTGTGTATATTGAGGCCTCTGATAGCCAACAACAGAGGTCTTTACTATTGCTTCGCAGGGAGGGAGGGAGGGAGGGAGGGAGGGAGGGAGGGAGGGAGGGAGGGAGGGAGGGAGGGAGGGAGGGAGGGAGGGAGGAGGAGTGGGTCTGAACTGGCTGTAGGGCATGGGTTTGTGAGGGCACACCCTTCTTCAGTCTGCAGGACACTCACAGGATGGAACCCAAAGAGGTTCCTCCTCACTGGACCATCTCTTCCCAGCAGTGTCACTGGCTGAGTGCATTCAGGGGTGAATCTGCTTCCTCACCTGCTAATAGGGGCTCAGCTGTTAAGATCCGTGGGAAATAGTCCCACAAATGTTAGCATTTACTACTGTTGCTTCTATTATAAGCACAGTGCTACTTCCGCCCCTTCCCTCTGGGGACCCTTGAATGTGAACTGAGTCACCTGCTGGTGAGCCTACCCTGCTGTTGGCAAGGAGAAGGCATGTTTACACTCAGCTTGCAGTTTCAGAGGGCTTACTGGGTTTGCTCTACATGTTCAAAAGCCTCTGACAGGCTCTGTGGGAAAATTGACTTCACAACACAAGGGACAGAAGGAGACTGGTGGGGAGCAGAGAAGGCCACACTCTTCTCTCCACAGAGAAGAAAGAAAGGGGTCCTTAGAAAAGGCCATTGGCAGGTCAGAACTGTCTGTTCCACATCCCCAGAGCCAAGAACCAGACCAGGCACTGGCCAGGTCGGCACTGCCTGGGCTCAGTATGGGGCACAGGGGCACCCAGACTGGCAGATGTCTGAGACTTTCCCAGAAGGGACTTTGCTGAAGGTCCACTTAGGCCCACCGTGACGATGTTAACTTCTGCGGGCTCCTCCCTGCTCAGGACTCCTCTCTGCTCAGGTCAGGACTCCTCCCTGCTCAGATCAGGACTCCTCTCTGCCCAGGACTCCTCCCTGCTCAGATCAGGACTCCTCCCTGCCCAGGACTCCTCCCTGCTCAGGACTCCTCCCTGCTCAGGACTCCTCCCTGCTCAGGACTCCTCCCTGCTCAGGTCAGGACTCCTCCCTGCTCAGGTCAGGACTCCTCCCTGCTCAGGACTCCTCCCTGGCCAGGACTCCTCCTTGCTCTTGTCAGGACTCCTCCCTGGCCAGGACTCCTCCCTGCTCAGGTCAGGACTCCTCCCTGCCCAGGACTCCTCCCTGCTCAGGACTAAGCCCGTGAGGTTCTGTGTGTGGCATGACTGTGAGTGTGGCATAGGACAGGACAGCACCCCTGAAGGCTCCGAAGAACTGGCTTTGAGTGGGGTCAACCCAGGGGACCAAACATCGGGCACCATGGAAGCCGGCTAAGCATTAAAGACTTGGTGTGTTGCTCTGTTTTTTTCTTTTTCCTTTGAGTCCCTTGGGACCGCAAGTCCAGAGCTTTCTTTGTGTTTGTGTATCTACGTGGCCCATGCAGGATAAGGCTAAGCAAGCCACACGGGGCTCAACCACTTTCAGTGACATCTTGCACTGTGTGCTCCTCAGCAACCTCTATGGCCCCAAGAATTCTGGAGCTGACCAGTGTCTTGACCCCAAGTCTGGCTACAGGGCTCTTCATAACTGCTTGATGTCCTGGGCCCAGAAGATAAAAAAAGAAAAAAAGCCAGTGACTCAGGATGGCCTCCAAACCCTCTTCCCAGGCTCCTCGATGCTCTTAGCCCACAGGACTCACACCAACCCGTGTTTCCAGGAGATACGGGCCTCCTCTTGCAGTGGGAGCAGGAGACCACTGAATACCTCTGCATTCAGATGAGATCTCAATTCCAGGCCCTCCCCGGGCAGGTGGGCAGCTACTCTCTACAGATCACCACACATTCCATCTCAGATGCTCCCAAGCGTTTCTACAGCCTCTCCTGTCTGGAATGCTCCTTCTGCTTCCATCCAGACCCTTGCAAGCCCACACAGGCTCCAGCTGTCGAGAAGCCCTCAATCAGTTCTTTCCTGCCTGCCTTTGCCAGGCATTTTATGAGCAGAATGGCACAGCTCCTGCCTCCAGGAACTCAAGGAGAAAGAAAGACACCAGCAATGGCATTGGTGGCAGCAGGGGCAGGCAGTGCCAGTAGACAGTGAGTGACGATGATAAAGAGGGGATGATCCCATCTGAAGGTACACTGACACACAAGCTGGCTCACGTGCCTCTCTTCCCACAGCAGACAACAGGCCAGGCTGGAGGGAGGTAGAAGGCCCTAGATCCCCAGCCCAAGGGTTGCTTATCCAAGGGATGGCCTGTTGAGGCATAGAAAGGACAGTTCAAGGCAGTGCCCCATAAGCAGAGCAGAGCATAAGCCTCGGTGCCCGAGTACAAATCCTGACTCCAAGCCCTGGGTAAGTCTCCTGTAGAGACCTCTGCCAGCAGCGAAGGAGCAATGGCTACGATCTGTCCAGTGGACAAAGTGAGATACAGAAACAGCACTTACACAGCACCTGGCGCATAACCAGAGGGGGAAATGGCAATTGCTGGCCTGCTCCTTCAACTAGCCAGTATGTTTCAGTCTATAGGGCTGAGCAAAGGCTGAACAACCACGCCAGACATGGGGTACAGAGGTCTCCTGTAGGATTCGAGGTCCTGAGTCTTTAGGTGGCTCACCTCCATGGCTGACTCCTTAAGACCACCTTGCAACAAGCTGGCCCAGATACTCCAGGCTCAAGCACAGGGCTCTGTAGTCAATGTCATTCCATGAGCTTGTCTTATCACCTTGCAGAGCAGTAACAATTAGAAGCATGACATGTTGGGTTAACCTGGTTCAATATGCCAGGCATTCTAAGGGGACATTTTACTAGTCTTTGAACAGGGTCCTAAAACAAGTTTGTCAGTCTTTCTCTCAGAGTGTATATGTCCCTTCACACGCACATACACACACAAACACACACACGTGAATCATACAATACACATGCACACATGTCATACCTGAGATCTGTCTGTCTGTCTGCCTGTCTCTGAGACAGGGTAGACTATGTAGCCCAGGTGGGCATGGAACTTGTGATCCTATTGCTTCAGCCTCCCAAGAGACAGGACGCCAGCTATGTGCCTTCACACCCGACTCTCATGCTTGACCCCTGCTATACAGCCCATGGCTAAGGATGGCTTCTCAGGTTAAGCTAAACTAGGAGTCTAGTCTGGAGAGTTCTAAACATCCTCACAGGCATGTGTGGAAGTCCTTCCCTCTCCCTGGTTGAGCGACTCCTTTATGAGAAGCAGGCTGCGTTAATTATTATCTCAGTGCAAGCCAGGGGCTGGCCTTTGTTCTACAAGGGCCTCTAAGAAAAACCCCAGCAGCTGCACTTCCTTGTGAGGGAACTAGGGTGGGCTGGGGGGCTGAGTGGGAGAGTGCAGGGAAAGGGGTTCTGTCTCTACAGCAAGCAGATTCCTTTTCCCAGGCTTTCTAAGAGGGTTCCACAGGGATGCAGCTAGAGAGAGGACTTGAGCAGAGTATCCCTAGGACCACAGGGGCAGGGCTGGATAAGGATGTGGTGGGAAGCTGAGAACAGAGCCAGGAAGGCAGAAGAGACCAGACATAAAAAGAGGGACTAAAGAGCCAGACAACCCTCTCTCCACCTGCCACCCACCCCAGCTGAGCGCAACACTGATTACCTGACTTTGGACACCTCATCTTGCCAAAGCAGAAGCAAGAGATGGGCTGTTTCCTAAAATTCCTATGCTGAAATCTCACCCCCAATGTGATGGGATTAGGAAATAGGGGCTGATTACCACCTCTGAACTGCAAGAATGGCATTCCTGCAGTTTGTAAGTTACATGCTGCCTAAGTAAGGCAGAGGTCTTCCCATGTTCTGGGGAGGACAATGGGACACACAGGGAGCAGCCTGATCAATAAGAACAAAGCTGACTGCTGTGGGCAGACACCATGGGACTCTGCAGAGTCTGATGTCATGTGCAGCTGTGGAATGGGAGCCACTCCCAGTGCCAGGGCCTATCTCAGCCTCGTGGGCCAACATCCCAGCGGAGGCTAAGGCTGAGGCCAGCCTCTGGGCACCGGAAGAAGCTCAGACCTCCATGCGGCCCCCACCACGCCTCTCTTTCCACCCTTGCAGGCTCGGGACACTGCCTCCCTTCCCCCACCATACTCTGGACACCAGCTTCCCCAAACAGTGATGGAAGGGCTACAAAACAGTGTATGGGCCCCTTGACCCTGAGCCCAGCACATTCCTCTGATTAGGAAAAAATAGGTGGGGTTAAAGTTTTGGGTTCCTGTACTGACCCTAAGGAGTTTCACATCCATGCCCTTGGCTTCCCAATAACCCAAGTTATCAGACAGCTATGACTTCTCAGCTTGAAAGAGACAAAGCCTGGGCAGGGGAAACGGCCTCCAGGACACAGAGCAGGTAATTGGAAGGCTTGTTGCAGACCTCTGCACACAGTGGCTTTGCTCAAATGACATGCAGACAGCAGCCTGGCACCTTCCACAGGGTCTCAAGGACGATGGTTGCAGTGGCCACTATCCACCGCTGAAGGTTTGCCTTTCTCTCCTCTGGCCTTTGCAAGGTTTCCTACTGTTTTGGTGCAGGGCATGGGGAGGAATGGTGGTAAGGAAAAGCCCTTACCTGCTCTGACCTGAGTCCTGCAGGGGGGTGCCCGAGTCCCAGTCCACGGCTCCCGCAGGTCGCTCTAGGGCCCAGAGCAGAAGCAGAGATCAGGACAGAGCCACCAACTGGGCTCTCAGCTGCTACTCAGTGAACACAGGACAGATGTCCTAGTCCCTATGTGGGCTGAATGCTTGTGTTCCCCAAATTCACACACTGAAATCTAATCTCCAGTATGGTATGATGGGATTAGAAAGTGAGGACCACGACCCATGTTCTGGTCTAAGAAGTGGATGCACGGCTGTCACAAAGATTGAGGGAACCCAGAGTAGGTGAAGAGGACTCCGTGCACACCCTCAGGTGAGTTAATGAGAAAGCTCAAGAGAGATGTCTTTTGCAGTCCGAGCACACACCTGCAGCAGTGTTCCTGTGGTGCTCTCTCCCACAGGGTTCCTGCCTGCCAGCTCACCAGAGCGCGCAAAGCACAGTGGGAATGACATCATCAGTAGGGGCAACGTCATTAGAGGGAGTGCATGAGGCCACTCTGCAAAAAGCTACAAGGCATAGGGAAAGGTCACATGGCTTCTGTCCCCAAGCACAAAGGATGGCCTCCCCCTGACACGGAGGGCCACAGGGTTTGTGGCAGGTAAGGCTGCTTATGAGGTATAAAGGGCCTCATGTCCCAGCTGGACAGTGACTGAGTGACACTACAGTGTTCTCCCATCTTTCCAGATTCCTACCACTTCCCATTTGCTCCAACCCTGGCCTACAAACTGAGACTCACCTGACGCAGCCCTGTCCCAGGACGGAGTCCAGTCTGGGCTTCCCACCTTGGGAGGACTCCGCCTGGAAACCTTCAGCATCTCCTGCAGCAGGAGGCGGTTCCTTTCCACCTGGTCAGACAGGGACAAAGCATGTGTCCCAGTGCGCAGGGCCTCCAGGCCACCAGCTCTCCAGAGCACCTCCTGTAGGTCTGTTCTGGGAACTAAGTCCTCCTTGGAGGTTAGGGCTGTGCTGTCTAGATCTCCCTCGGTGACCACACTGTCTCTAGGTGCGTATGCTCGTTTCTTCTTTAGGCTGCTCACGTGGCTGGTTTTAGAGGCCCCAGACCACTGTGGCTGGTCTGCAGAAACATCATTGTTGGGGCTCTCTTGTAAAGAGCCAGGTCCTGGTGCTGGGCCTTCCTCAAGATCAGCCAGCATCCACGCTGCTTCTGGGGACGGCAGCCTTTGTCCATTCCAGCTCTCAAGGTCAGGGGTAGATGGCCTGGATCCACCATTCCCGGGAGGTTTCTCCTCATTAACACTGCTGTCTAGCTGCCCACCAGTCTGGTTCTGAGCATGGGGGACCACCAGGGCATCTGAGAGAGGAGAGCCCTCAGGTAGGTTCCAGACTGCTTTGGGCTTGACTTGGTGGCCCTTGGATTTTGTGGGGGATGGACACTCATAGGAAGTGGGACAGGGATTTGCCCCCTGTGTCCTTGCCGTCATTTTCTCCTTCAAGGCCTTCACCTTGGATTCGAGCACAGAAAGGCCTTGGTGCTGCAGCGTCCATGCCCCGGGAGGCTTGGGAACCACTGGGCAATGCTGTCTGTCTTTCTGGGGATAGAACGGGGGTCTTGGGAGGGGTCCGCTGTATGGCTGCTCAGAACCATTTCTGGCCACAGCTGGAGTCACGTGCATGGGGCTGGTTGTTCTGCTCCCTGACCTGGATGCTCTGCAGAAAAAAGGAGAAGCTGAAACCCTGTACTTGGATGGCCCCCGTAACCTAATTGTGCCCCCCTCAGAGTGCTCTGGTATGGACTGATATGGTGGAAGCCATAGACTCAAAAGGAGATAGAGACAGTCATAAACTATCAGCCATCTGCTCTGTGCCAGGCAGAGATTTTTCAAACATCTTAAAATTCTCTAAAGTAATTCTGACATGCCTGTGTTAGAGTGTTATTAGTACCCTCTTTTTTATCGGGTGGGGAAACTAAAGCATAGAGAAATTACACCCCATGGATGCCATGGGGAAGTCCAGCTTGTAACCAAAAGCTTTTATCCCAAGCCCAGTGCTCTTCCAAAACAGTGATCAATTAACCACATCCCCTTATTCTTAGGTAAGACCTGAGTCCACAGTAGTCACAAGCCTCACCAATGTTACACAGCCCCTTGGTGGCTGGGCTGATTCCAATGGCTTTACAGAGAAGGACAGTAACAACTGTTTTTACTCACTGTATGTGCTACTATGTCTTAATGGTTATGCTGTCAGACTACTCTGAGGAATCATCCTATGTCTAGATATGTCCCATCTGAAGTAAACTCAGTGTACAAGAATCCATGCATAAACAACACACAGTAAGGGTCCACCAGAAGATGTTCTTAAAGTGTTAAGTTCTTCTACAGCCACTTATTACAATTCAATTTATATGCTTTTCAGGGACGTACGTATTTTATAAAGCAGGATACACCTACAGCGCAACATGTCACAGCAGTAAATCCGTCAAGTGTAAAGATTATCTTTGAGACAGAAGTCATTTCCTCTACTGGATCATGCAGAGCAGTGGTTCTCAACTGTGGGTCGAGACCCCTTTAGGGGTAGGAAGACCCTTTCAACAGGGGTTGGAAGACCCTTTCAACAGGGGTCGCCTAAGACCATCAGAAAACACAGATATTTACATTATGATTCCTAACAAAGTTACAGTTGTGAAGTAGCAACGAAACTAATTTTATGGTTGGGGTCACCACAACAAGGGGGAACTGTATTAAAGGGTCACAGCTTTAGGAAGGCTGAGAACCAATGATCTAGACTACACTAGGGTTCTCTTTGCTACCTCTTCTCTTCTGAGATCCAATCCAGAAGCTAGGGTTGGGATTGTAACATGAACCCTTTCAGTAAAATCCAAAGAACTCCAGAGCCCTTAAACTCTGGAAGGAAGAGCGCTCCAGACAGCCTTGTCTGCAGACCTTAAAGAATGAGACGCTCCCCCCTGAAGGCCTCTGGACCGGCTTCCTGGAAGACAGTTAGGAGTCCTCCACTCCTAGCATCGATGCTGCAACTCAGGAAAACTGGAAAGAAAATGGACGTGAAGAGCGGCCCTCCTCAACTCTTCTGGCTATACCGCGGTGGAGGTCTGGGGAGGGTGGGTGTCTCAGGTCCCCTCTGCGTCCCCCACCCGGCCCGCTCCTCTCCGTACTCACTGAGAGCTGCGCGCAGGCTTCTCTGCCGCCTCCATCCCCTCCATCCCTCGGAGAGGCGAGGCCCTGGCCCACGCTCCCGTCCCGGGCCGCAGCAGAGTCCCGGGAAGGACTCGCCCTAAATCCGGGCAGGCGGGACTGTGGCCCGCAGGCCTCGCCCCTGGGATGGCGTCCGGCCCCGGGGCCTGCGAGGCGAGGCCGGGCTGGCGGGAATGCGCGGCGCCCCAGGCCCCGCAACGACCGCTACTTCACGGCTTTGCTTGAAGGTGAGAGGCCCAGCCGGCCCTGGAAGAGAGGGCGAGGAAGGCGAGAGGAGGGGCAGCGGAAGGGGCTGGAGGAGCCGCGACCTCGGCCTGTCCCCACCCCCAAGCCTCCCGAGTCCTCTTGGGGTCGTGGCCGCTCAACGGGGCGCACGCTGGGAGCTGGGCGCCCGGAGCAGCCGCGACTCCGCTCTCCTGCCCAGACGGCGGGGGATGCGTGCGCCCTGAGTATGGGGCGCACAGGCTGCCACCCGGCCGTGTCCGGACGCCGACCAAATCCCTCCCTGGGGACGCGGGGACGAAGGCGGAGGGGAGATGAAGTGACTGTGGGGCGCAGCCGAGTGCAGGGGGAGCCACGCTTCAGCCGACTACACCAGCTCTGCTGGTGGGGGAAGCTGAGGAACGCCGGGTGTTGGTAACGTTTTGGGATGAGTCGACCCATCGCCCTTGGGCGCCCTCCCAGGTCAAGGTCATTGGCCGCAGCTCTGTAGAGGCGGCAAGGCAAGCAAGCCGGAGCGGACGGCTACCCTGTCCGCCCAAAGTGGGGTTTGCATTGCCAGCTGCATTGGGAAGGGACCGGTTCTCAGGGCGCTGAGGACAGATCTGGGTTCAAGTCTCTGCTGAAGGAGCAACAGAGCGTTCTCTATCGAACAAGAGGGAGGTGATCAAGTCTCAGCAATGTCCAGACACATTTTTTTTGAGGGGGAAAATGCATAATAAGAGGAACCAGGGCATTTCAAATACATCTGAAAAGAGAAAAGTCCTTGTTAATCGTTCCTTTGTCAAGTTTTACCGAAGCTAATAACCTTTTGTGCAGGTCAGCTGCTAGGTGGCGGGTGTAGCTACAGGGGCCTCACAGAGCTAAGGATCTGAGCACAGCACATTGACTTCTGCCCCTTGTGCTGGTGTGTGGGGGCCTGTAATCCCAGTTGATCTGGAGATTGAAGGAGGATCTGCTAGTTCAAGGCCAACCTCCTCATTTCCGTGAGACCCTTTCTCCAAGTGAAAAGTGAAGAAATGGGCTGAGTGAGGTTGTAGTGCTGGGGTAGAGAATTTGCCTAGTGTGCAAGAAGAGGCCCTGGGTGTAATCGGAGCACTACAGAAACAAAAAGGAGGTCTACCTCCCTTCAGTGAGCTGAATGCTAGAACTGGGCAGGTAATCCAGCCCAGATTTGAGCAGACCGGCAGAAACTGATAGTAGGACCAATTTAGGAACCAGAGATGTTATCCACAAAACCCCGTATAAGCGAGCAACTCCAAGTCCACAGCCTGGTGAGCAGAGTCAGAGGCGCCTTCCTGCCATGTTTCCAGAGTAGTGTTCCTTAAACGAGACACTTTCTGCTCTGCTCTAGTGCTGAGCACGGCACAATACCCTGACAGCTTATCAGAGGGTCTGTCTACCTGCACAGGCACTGTTCTAAGCAGACATCATGCTGCTACTTCAGGAGTGCAGCACTATTGTCCCTTTTAAAATATGGTGAACAGTCAGGACCAAGCTAGTAAGTGCAGGTCTTCAAGGACTCAAGGATCTCGATCGACACACTGTTCACAGTTAGCATCTGCAGCATGACATGAAATATTTAGTCTTTAAAAACTCAAATTGAAGCGGTGGTGGTGCACAACTTTAATCCCAGCACTTGGGGGGCAGAGGCAGGCAGATCTCCGTGAGTTCAAGACTAGCCAGTGAGAGCCTGTCAAAAAACAAACAAACAAAAAACAAGTAGATCAAACACTTTGGATCAGGTTAGAATGTAGCTCAGTAGGTGGTGTTCCCCCAGCAAGTGTGAAGCCTTCCTGGGCTTGGGTTTGATACCTAGCATCACATAACTGGGTATGGTTTACACACTTGTAAGCCTAGCACTTAAGAAAGTTACACCTGTCTGTAACTCCAGTTCCAAGGGATCTGACACCTTCCAGATTCTGAGGGCACCAACCATGAAGTAGTACACAGACATACATGCAGGCAAAGCACCTGTATGAGGTTTTTCTAGAGCCACAGAACTTATAAAATGAGTCTCTCTCTCTCTCTCTCTCTCTCTCTCTCTCTATATATATATATATATATATATGTGTGTGTGTATGTGTGTGTGTAATTATTATATGCACATATACAAATTATATATGTACATAATTATATATACAAATATTATATATACATACATACAAACATACATACATATGAATTGGAATGGCTTACAGGCTGCAGCCCAACAATGGCTAGCTGTGAACAGAAAGTCCAAGAACCCAGGAGCTGCTCAGTCCCACAGGCTGGGTGTCTTCTGTATGTGCTGGAGTCCTGAAGAAGTAGCTTCCAATGCCAATGGATGTGATGCCAAGGCAAGGGCAAGCAGGCAAAGAATGAACAATCCCCTCCTTCTTCCCTTGTCCTTACATAGGCTTCCAGCAGAAGGCGTGGCCCAGAGTACAGGTGTGCCTTCTCACCTCAGGATCCGGTTCAAAGGCATGCTGTCTTCCTGCCTCCAGATCTGGATCACAGGCGTGTCCTCCATGTCTGGATTGTAGTGCATTCCAGGTGTATTCAGGTTGACAACCAAGAGTAGTCACCACAGCACCCATACATGTAAAATAAAAGCGAATCATCATCATAATCATCTGGGGGGGTGAATTTTTTCAATACCCAAAATGTGACACCAAGGGGTGGGTGGCCAATCGTCTCTGGATTCTACTTGTTGTACCTCATTCCTGCTGTCCAAGGAAAACCCTGAAAACAGGTTAGCCCCTTCATGTCCTCCACAGGCAGCCTCATAGAACAGTTGGGACCCACAAGACTAAGGGACTTCACAGGCTCTCTTAAATCTTTAAGAAACAGGCATGGTGTGGTGTGCCTCCGCTTCTGTGATGTGGAAACCTGGGGTACAGGGACAGTGACTTGCTCTGGGCCTCACAGCTAGCATAGCTAGAAGGTGACAGCCAGTCCTGTCTGGCTCCAATGTCGTCTGGCTCCAAGGTCGTCTGCCTTGCTTCTTCTCTGAACTCAGACTCCCACAGGTAATTCCCCAGGGTTCCTGGTCCCTTCTTTCCACCACAGTTAATGATCTGCAAGGCAGAGTTCTGAAAGTTTCAGGAGGTTTAATGTTTAAAGGAACCCTGCCTTCCCTCCAGCCCTCTAAGATGCACCTTTGGTTTACTCATTAATTTGTTTGGGGAAAGAGGAGGAGCCTCCAGCCGTAAGGGCACCAAAGAGCAAATTCTTAAAATGCTGTTAAATCATCCTGTGCGGTGGGTGTGGTATGTTCTAATCCAAGCACTCAGGAACCTGAAGCAAAGGATGGCCACAGATTTGAGACTAGCCTGGTTTATGTGTGGCACATACCAGGCCTGCTAGGGCTTCATAGCAAGACCTGTCTCAAAAAACCAAACGACCAGCAAAGCCTCATCATACCATTGATGTCTCAGAAGGCACCTCTCGCTTCAGCTGGGTTCTGCTTGTTTTCACAGGTATCTGTTGAACTCTTGGTGCATCAGGGACTACGGAACACAGTTGAGCGCTGTAGATTATGACCTTGAGTTTCCAGCAAGAGGGACAGGCGTATACACTTTTGTGTTGGAGTTTCAGGTCAGTCTAGCGCAGGGTGCTGTGGACTGCTTGCAGGAACAGCTGACTGAGGGGAAGGTGTTGTGTGGGAAGTGGTGTCCCTGAGAACTGAGGCTCAGAATCAGCAGCGGGGAGCTAGAGCTAGCGGCCGGAAGATGCATCTGAGAAAGAATAGCACGTGCACAGCATGGAGGGGGGGGTGAAAGTGCCTGGTGAAACACACAGCCCCTCACCCATGGGAGCAGCTAGAGGACGACTCTCCTAGAAGCCTCTGATTCACCTTAGGTGAGGCACAGGCAGGCCTCTCCCTCCTCCCCAGCTCCTCCATGGTGCTCCCAACCGAACCCAGCAGGGCTGAGGAACCCGTGGGGGTGTGAATCGGGTTTCACACAGGACAGAGGAATGAGAAGGATTGTCCTTCCAGATTGTCCTAACAAGGCCAGAGAGTTCAGTCAGGTGGAAACAAGGTGAGGGAGACACCTCTGTCATGCCCTACTACAGACTAAGGGCACTTGCTTGACTGGAAACCTTTCTTTCCCCAGCCCTCCTGTCTTGCACTTGGATGGGCAGGTGATGAAGGCAGGAGGCAGCTGGCTCCAGGTGCAGGGCTTTTAGGCAGGAGCCAGAGACAGTGAAACTGAGCGCTCTGTGATCTTCTAATACATGGGATTCTATGGAGGAGACTGACCAGGGCACCTGTGGACTCCCTGGTCACAGGCAAGAGACTGCGTCTATGGTCTCCCCCATGGGCAATGATTCTTTGGGATGGAGAGGACTCAGGAATCTATGTCCCATGAGCTTGCCAGGCAATTTGCTGCACACAGACCTCTCCAGCTCTAACTCTCACAGTCCTTGGCAGCTGCCCTCACACACCACAGTGTCAAGCTGCTTTTGTTTCCCCAACTGTAGGGGCTGATCGGTCTCCTTGCTCTTTGCCCAGGCTTCAGTGCAGCCACCCCAGGATCCTGCCACTGTGGACTATGACTGTGTTGAGAGATGAGATTTTGGCAGGTCATTAGGTCACAAGGATGAGCCTCCACAATGGGGTAAGGGACATTGCAAGAAGAGATGCTGGAGAGCTTGCTGTCTCTCTGGCAAATGAGAGCAAAAGTCAACCAGGAGCAGGGTCCTCACAGACCCTGCCCACACCATCTCCCTATCTCAGAGATGTCAGGACTAGGAGAAAGACGTGTCTGTTCTTCAAGCCACTCAATCCACTTTCCCTATTTTTGGTTTGTTTTTTGAGACAGGGTCTCTGGTAGCCCAGGTTGGCCTTTAATCATATGTGTATTAAAGATGACCTTGAGCTCCTAATTCCTCTGCCGCTACCTCTCTAGTATTACAGGTGGCCTCCACCACACCCACCCGTAGCATCCTCTCCTTGTCCTAACATCCTGCCCAGTCCTAGCGAAACACCAATCACAGTTTTCCCATTAGAAAACACCCTGTAGTAGTGTGGTGTCTGATCCTCACTGTGTCCCTGGCTACACAAAGGGTGCTGGTGGCTACGGGGAAAAAAAAAAAAAGAAAGAAAGAAACCCCTACTAGAAGGATACTTATAAGGACTGATGCTTGCCAAGTAGACTTAGTTTGCTTTTATGGGTTTCAAGCATTCACTCAGAACAGCCAGGCCTGCCCTAGACTTTTTGAGAAAGGTGTTTAGGGGCAAGGCCAGGATCAGCATTCAGGCTTCTAACTGACATGCACACAGCCTTATACATGCCCAGGTCTTCTCCCACTGTCCCCCAAAGGATCATAGACATGGTGTTGCCCTTCACTCCAATTCTGAGATAGCTTGCCAATCTGGAGGTAAAGCAGCTATCAGATAAGAGAGAGGGAGAAGAGGCAATAATGGAGACTTACAAAGACAAGCTAGAACAGACCATTGAGAAGGGTGTAGTGAGCAGTGTGGCCACTGGGTACCTCCAGATAGCAGCCATCATACTTTCTTCTATACCTCCCTGAACACCTTTATGTGCACACACACACATGAACACACACACACACACACATACACATTTGCACACACACGACAGGCACACACACACACACACACACACACACACACACACACACACACACACCAGCTTTCCCATGCCTCAGTGACTGCAGCTAAAACCCAATTGAAAAGTTTCTGTACCCCGATAAACCTTTCTCTGATGTAGCTATCCAATCAGGCCAAATCAAACAGGATTAGAAAAAGTCCATGCTTAATGGATTCAATGCTCCTGGATGGTCTTCCAGCTCCCCAGAGAGGAGATGGAAAAGAGAGACTAGAAAACCATGAGTCTATTTTCTGGGGGACAGTTTAAATACCCTGGGGAAGTGGTCTTGAGCATCTCTGGGGGAGGGGTCATCATTTGTTGGGCTTTCTGAGATGCAGCAGGGTTTGGAGGGAAATGCTGGAGGGGGACTGGAGTGAAACTTCCACCATAACTTGCCAGACTCTTTGGGTATGGACTCCAGGGATGAAGCTCTGGCATAACACCAAGGAGAGCAGAAGTGTGGTTCTTACCTGCCTGCCCGTGGTCAGCCTCTCCCCCTCCCCAAGTTTGGCAGGTAAGGAGTTCACTGGGTCAGGAACCTTCTGCAGGGACTACAACTCCAGACCTCTCTGGCTAAGCAGCTTCTCACTGTGACTGACCACATGCTGATTTTAACAGGCATCTGCTCCCCAACTGGAGTCCCATGGCAGCTTTTTATTTCATAACCCTAATCCCAGAGAAATGACTGAGATTAGGAAAGCATTTTAATGATCTGCCCCACCTGCTCAGCATGAGGCTGTCATTACCATAAGAAAAGGATCCTTGACCTTTGCCTGTCATCTAGTTAACTGTCATCTTGGCCTAGTTCATGTTCTTAGAAGACCCAGGGAGAAGAAAAGCCTTGGAGGGTGACTGAGGCTGTCATTGTGATACCTTTGACCTTGAGAAAGACAGAAAACTCTCTGCTACATTGTTAATTGGCTTGATACATAGCAGAGACTATGAAAAACTGACTGAACTGGCATCATTCTCACACCAGCAGTTCAGTAAAGAGCTATGACTATTTCAGGGAAAGCTAAAAAAGGTATTTGACAGGATTCAACACTATGCTGATAGAGTCTGCCTAAACGGGATAAAAATATCTTTCTCAAATCCTCCATGCAACAGCCAACATGTTACTAAATGGTGCATTCCCCCATGGCCCCAGCAAAGGTCGAGATTGAGTGAGGACACTAGGAACCACCACAGCTGTTTATTGTGGTCTGCTCGGATGTGTGATCACTTAGGAGGTACAGTCAAAATCACTACACTTATTACTTGGTGGTTGACATGACTTATTTTTTACTTTTTAAAGTTGACATGTGAAGTTTTGGGTTTGCTCTAATTCATTCCCCTCCTCACCCCCTCCCCCATTCCTCTCAACCCCCACCTCCTTTGCTCATCCCCTACCTCCTCTCAAATGCCCTGCCTTCTTTACATGGTTGTTTGCCATGAAAACTAAAGCAACATGGACACAAGATAAATGTTAAAATGTGATTTCCTTAAGTACCAACACTAGCCTACACAGAACTGAAAGAGAAAATATTTTAGGCAAAAAAGCAGAAATCCATTTAGAGCCAGATTTGTTTGTGCATAGCTGTGTAACACCAATACTCTGGAGGCTGAGACAGGAGGATCACAAGTTCAAGGCCAGCTTGGACTACTTAGTTGGGTCCTGTCTCAAACAAATGAACTAAAATAATAATAATCCACCAAGAAATAACCTTTACACCACAAGCCTACAAGAAAGTTGATAATGATAGTCTGTATAATTAAAGATAACTGAAAACAACTCAAATGCCCATTGGTGACAGAAGGGATAATTTGGGCATGAATATAAAATGAAATATTGTAGAGCGGGCTGGAGAGATGGCTGAGAGGTTAAGATCGCTGGCTGCTTTTCCAGAGGACCTGAGTTCAATTCCCAGCAACCACATGGTGGCTCACAACCATCTGTAAGGAGATTTGGTGCCCTCTTCTGATGTGCAGGCAGAACACTATACCATAATAAATGAATCTAAAATGA